AATAACCGTTGGGGATGTTGAAATGCCTATAGTTATCCTTTAATGCCATGGCTCATGAAGCCATACGCAGGCAGCCTGGACAGTAGTCAGGAGCTGTTCAACTATAGGCTGAGCAAGTGCAGAATGGTAGTAGAATGTGCATTTGGATGTTTAAAAGTGCACTGTTGCAGTTTACTGACTCGGTTAGACCTCAGCGAAACCAATATTCCCATCATTATTACTGCTTGCTGTGTGCTCCACAATATCTGTGATAGTAAGGGGGAGACCTTTATGGCGGGGTGGGAGGTTGAGGCAAATCACCTGGCTGCTGATTACATGCAGCCAGACACCAGGGCGGTTAGAAGAGCACAGCAGGGCACGCTGCGCATCAGAGAAGCTTTGAAAACCAGGTTCATGACTGGCCAGGCTACAGTGTGAAAGCTCTGTTTGTTTCTCCTTGATGAAAACCTGCCCCCTTGGTTCACTCTACTTCCCTGTAAGCCAACCACCCTCCGCTCCCCCCTTTGATCACTGCTTGCAGAGGCAATAAAGTCATTGTTGTTTCAAATTTATGCTTTCTTTATTAAATCATCACACAAATGGGGTGATAACTGCCAAGGTAGCCCGGGAGGGGTGGGGGAGGAGGGAAGAACCGGGTGGGGTGGTGGAGGAGGGAAGGACAAGGCCACACTGCACTTCAAAACTTATTGAATGCCAGCTTTATGTTGCTTGGGCAGTCCTCTGGGGTGGAGTGGTTGGGTGCTTGGAGGCCCCCCCACTGCGTTCTTGGGCGTCTGGGTGAGGAGGCTATGGAACTTGGGGAGGAGAGCGGTTGGTTACACAGGGGCTGCAGCGGTGATCTGTGCTCCTGCTACCTTTCCTGCACCTCAGCCATATGCCGGAGCATATCAGTTTGATCCTCCAGTAGCCTCAGCATTGCATCCTGCCTCCTCTCATCACGCTGACGCCACCTATCATCTTGCTCCCACCACCTGTCCTCTTGCACGTCCTTCCTGTCCTCGTGTTCATTTTGTGCTTTCCTGCACTCTGACATTGTCTGCCTCCACGCATTCTGCTTGGCTCTTTCAGTGTGGGAGGACTGCATGAGCTCAGAGAACATTTCATCGCGAGTGCATTTTTTCACCTTCTAATCTTCGCTAGCCTCTGGGACGGAGAAGATAGGGGGAGCGTTAAAACATTTGCAGCTGCAGGAGGAAAAAAAGGGAGAGTAGTATTTAAAAAGACACATTTTAGAGAACAATGGGTAGATTCGTTCATGGTGAACCAAGCTGTTAACATTACATAGCACGTGTGCTTTCTTTACAAGGTCTCATTTTGCCTCTTATATTGAGGGTCTGCTGGTTTGACGTGAGAGATCACACACGCAGGGCCGGCGGGCAACAGAATTCGACTTGCAGGCAGACATGGTAAGCCACAGTCTTTTGGCTTCTTTAACCTTCATAACATGTGGGAATAGTTTCATACAGTAGTGCTCTCATTTCCCATACCAAGCACCCGTTGGGTTGGCCATTTAAAAGGAGGGGGCTGCGGTTTTTGGGTTAACATGCAGCACAAACCCAACTAACCCCCCCGACACACACACACAGACACACAATTCTCTGGGATGATCGCTTCACCCCTCCCCCCACCACGTGGCTAACAGCGGGGATGATTTCTGTTCAGCCACAGGCAAACAGCCCAGCAGGAACGGCCACCTCTGAATGTTCCCTTAATAAAATTCCCCTATTTCAACCAGGTGACCATGAATTATATCACTCTCCTGAGGATAACACAGAGAGCTAAAGAACGGATGTTGCTTGAATGCCAGCAAACACCAGGACCATACGCTGCCATGCTTTGTTATGCAATTATTCCAGACTACGTGCTACTGGCCTGGGGTGCTAAAGTGTCCTACCATGGAGGATGGAATAAGGCTGCCCTCCCCAGAAACCTTTTGGAAAGGCTTTGGGAGTACATCCAGGAGAGCTTCATTGAGATGTCCCTGGAGGATTTCCGCTCCATCCCCATACACATTAACAGACTTTTCCAGTAGCTGTACTGGCCGTGAATGCATCCCAAGTCTTCAGGGCAAATTAATCATTAAACACACTTGCTTTTAAACCATGTATTATATTTACAAAGGTACACTCACCAGAGGTCCCTTCTCCGCCTTCAAGGATCAGGAGCCCGCCTTGGGTGGTTTGGGAGGGTACTGGCTCTAGGGTGATAAACAGTTCCTGGCTGTTGGGGAAAATGGTTTCTCTGCTTGCTTGCTGTGCGCTATCATGGAATAAGGAAAAGGAATAAATTGCCTAGGGAGGTTGTGGAATCTCCATCTCTGGAGATATTTAAGAGTAGGTTAGATAAATGTCTATCAGGGATGGTCTAGACAGTATTTGGTCCTGCCATGCGGGCAGGGGACTGGACTCAATGACCTCTCGAGGTCCCTTCCAGTCCTAGAATCTATGAATCTATGAATCATCTTCCTCGTCCCCAAAATCTGCATCCCTGTTGCATGAGAATCCATTGATGGAGTCCACGCACAGGGGTGGGGTAGTTGTAGGGGCACCCTTTAGAATGGCATGCAGGTCATCATAGAAGCGGCATGTCTGGGGTGCTGACCCGTCATGGCCGTTTGCCTCTCTGGTAGGTTTGCCTGAGCTTCTTAAGTTTCATGCGGCACTGCTGTGGGTCCCTGTTATAGCCTCTGTCCTTCATGCCCTTGGAGATTTTTTCAAATATTTGGGCATTTCGTCTTTTGGAACTTCTGATAGCACGGATTCCTCTCCCCATACAGCGATCAGATCTAGTACTTCCTGTTCGGTCCATGCTGGAGTAATTTTGCGATTCTGGGACTCCATGGTCACCTCTGCTGATGAGATCTGCATGGTCACCTCTGAGCTCGCCACACTGACCAAACAGGAAATGAAATTCAAAAGTACGCGGGGCTTTTCCTGTCTACCTGGCCAGTGCATCTGAGTTGAGAGTGCTGTCCAGAGCAGTCACAATGGAGCACTCTGGGATACCGCCCGTAGGCCAATACCGTCGAATTGCGTCCACACTACCCCAAATTCGACCCAGCAGGGTCGATTTCAGCGCTAATCCCCTCATCGGGGAGGAGTACAGAAATCGATTTTAAGAGCCCTTTAAGTCGACAAAAATGGCTTCGTCGTGTGGACGGGTGCAGGGTTAAATCGATCTAACACTGCTAAATTCGACCTAAACTCGTAGTGTAGACAAGGGCTAAGACTTCTGTTCATTCCCTCTGAAGCACCTGGCATTGGCCACTGTCAGAAGACAGGCTACTGGGCTAGATGGACCATTGGTCTGACCCAGTATAGTCATTCTTATGTTCTTAGGGTCTCAGACCTCCTATAGCTTAATGGCCTCATGAGAAGCTTGCTTCTCTCTTCAGTAATGCATGTTGGTCTAAAAATTGGTTGAGAAATGTCAGGTTTCTGGGTCTTTTTTTCTAGTGACTTAAGTAAAATTACTGTCATCATTGGTTTTAGACTACTGACATCAGTAGAGTTATTCCTGAGTTACAGTGGTGTAGGTAAAATCAGGCTCTCTGTTTTAGTTACCGGTGTGGTGCAAAGTTTATGGCAATATTGAGGTTGTTTGATTTACAGCACCCAGAGTTTTTCAAACTGGAAAATGTGTCATAGTCCCTGCCTGTTGAGTGCTGGTGGGATAGTCTCAACAAAGGCAGCAAAGTCTGATACAGGCTATCAACTGTACAGCCACTGTGGATGAGTACAAGCTAAATTAGGTTTGGAGAGAGGCTAAAAGGGAGGCAGCCTCAAGTAGCAAGCGAATGAGAGCAAACCCTGACCCGGGTCCATAAAAAGTCAAAATTGTAAACGTGTATATTGAATTTTTGTTTGTGAATAAGGCACATAGGCCAACTATATGTACAAAACCTGGTTGTGGCTACTGATTAGTTGATATGCTCATTTGTATGTACAGTTACCCAATTTACATATGCAAATATCTGTTTACCCAAACAACAGTGTTGCAGTTTTTGCAGGTACAGTTCAGATTGCCAGATCAGTTTCCTTCGTTGGTAACTGAAATCTACCATGTCTGACTTGTTCCCATGTATTTATTTGTATATCTCATTGAGTGACTGGGGTGAGGGCCTCTTATAGTGCAGTATCATGGGAGCAACTTTTCTCTTCTGCTCTCTTCCAATTCTTATGCCATGGTCTCTGAGCATCAGGGATTGTTTGTTTGTTTAAGCAGCTAAAAGGACTGGGCTTGACCCAAGCCAGTACATAGTGCTATGCTAGACTGGGATTGCTCTGTGGGAGCCATTTGCTGCCCAGTGTAATTTTAAACAATTATTCCAGCTCTTAAGGTTGAGGATAAAACCTTCTGAATTTGCCCCAGATTCATAGTGATTCTACAGACAGATGGATACAACAGCTCTCAGGCCAAATGCTTCGCTCTAAATATTACCTCTCTTGCTCTGTATGTAGTTTAAATGGATATTTTTGTACTTTCTTTTCTTCATGATAATAAAAAGTTACATAAACCCAAGACACCATGTCTTAAGTGACTGAATTTTACTGCTGATAATTTTCAATATCTCTAGCAGTTTCAGGTTAACAAATCGTAGAAGGTCCTCAGAGTAGGACTGTGCTAGCTACATCAAAGCTCAACTTCTTGCCACACAACTAAAGGAACGGTGGAGATTGAATAAATAAAATACACAGGAAACAAGGTTATATCATTCTCATAGGTGTTGTGGATTCTTTGTATGTACTTATCTGCTTTGTTGTGCATGCAGCGCCTATATCGGCATGTGGCAATATGAGAGATGGACCCAATCCTGCTCCCATTTAAGTCAATGGCAAAACTCTCATTGATTTGAATGAAAACAGGAGTGGGCCCTAAGGCCATAGCTTTGAACAGGCCATGGATTTCTGTGGTCTGGCCATTCTGTAATCAGTATGCAGGGAGCGCAGTTATAAAGGCATTGTTTGATAATAGAGATTTTCCGTGGTGCTTTGTTTCAGCTCTGAGCCTGCAGCATGTGAGGTGGTGCACTATCTCTGAGCAAGAACAGGCCAAGTGTAATGACATGAGCGCAGCCTTCACTGATGCCAACATCCTTCCCAATGTATTGTGTGTTAGAGGCGGCTCAGCCATTAACTGCACCCATATGATCAAGGTGAGTTTGAAGTCATTACATTAGTGTCAATATAGCTTCTTGCTATGCCTTATTGGGCCACTTCACCTTGCATGGTCCCTTAGAATATGTACTAAGTACTTATGCTACATGAGCTGTTCGACCTTGTATTTAGCTGTGACAGGGTACCTTTCCCAGACCTGAAGAAAAGCTTTGTGTAGCTCGAAAGCTTGTCTCTCTCATCAACAGAAGTTGGTCCACTAAAAGCTATTATCTCACCCATCTGGTCTTTCTTTACTGGAAGATAAGCAACAGAGGGAAAACAGTTGTTCCAGTCACTAAAGTAGACTGTTCTGCGTTGAGTTTCTGATCAAATCAGGCAGATGAGTATTCTTGTACAGGTGTTTATACTTTTAAAGATCCCCTGCCTTGGGAGTTTATTTAATTTATTTATTTATTTATGCATTCAGTAGATAAGACTGTTTGAGGTTTAAAACAAAAGATGGTCCTGTCTTTTCTGTTCAGCCAGATAACCCCAGTGACTGGGTCACAAAGTATGAACAAGAGCCTTAAATCTTCCCTTTAAAAGAAAGATCCTCTAATTCAGGCAATTGTATAACACCCTCCTTGGAAGGTAGTTGTGGAGGGGTAGTGGAGAGTCATGGGCAAGTGCTTAGAACCACAGGATTGGAAATTAGGAAATGTTTCTGGCGTAGACTCCCTCTGTGGCCATAGACATGTCACTTAACCTCTCTGCCTCAACATCCTTATTTGTAAAACTAGGGCTGCCCAGAGGATTCAGGGGGCCTGGGGCAAAGCAATTTTGGGGGGCCCTTCCATAAAAAAAAGTTGCAATACTACAGAATACTATATTCTCGTGGGGGCCCTGGGGCCTGGGGCAAATTGCCCCACTTGCCGCGCCCCGGGCGGCCCTGTGTAAAACAGGGATAATTCTAACTACTTACCGCATAGGGTTGCTGTGAGATTTAACTAGAGGGTTGTAATCTTTGTTGCTTCTGTCAGCAGAGCTCATTGTGCACAACATGGACTCCTTGCATCCTCCCCCCAAGCTCTGTGTGTGCTACCTTCCCACCCCCCTCCATTTCAGGGACAATGCTATCAAGTTGAGTCTAGTGTCTTGCTTCACTTGGCCAATGGATGGCAGGAGAGAGATCACTTGATCATTGCCTGTTAGGTTCACTCCCTCTGGGGCACCTGGCATTGGCCACTGTCAGTAGACAGGATACTGGGCTAGATGGACCTTTGGTCTGACGCGGTATGGCCTTTCTTATGTTAATTAATAAATGTGTAAAGCACTTGGAACAGAGAAAGTGCTGGAGAAGAGCTAAGTGTTTATTAATACCCTACAGTACATGTATGACAAACAGCAAAAAGGCTTAGTAGGCAGCATTAATGGGGGTTAGTCCAAAGGGCTTGGTCATATTGCTCAGCCTCAGTGAAACAGATAATACTTCATTCACATACATTATTTGTGACCTTTGGAGGGAACAGGTCATTTCTGTGCCCCATCTGCAGAAGGGGGATAATCATACTTCCTTACCACATAGTGAGGCTTAATACATGCTTATAAAATTTTTTGATATCCTCAGATGCAAGCTGCTAAATAAATGCAAAATATTAATACTCAACTAAATCTTGAAGCCTACTCAAATTTTACTAAAGCCATACTCAAATTCCTGGGGCTGACTAAAATTGAAACAAGAACCTTGGGATTTGATCTTATAAAAATAGAAGACACTTTACCCAGCAATAAAATGCAGCTGCTTCTGTGATGCAAGGGGGAAAGAATGCAAGATCTAACGCATGTGCTGGATGTAATAATCCAAGTGGATCCCGATCAGCACATGCCCAGGTAAAAGATTCTGTCATGGAATTTCTAAGAGATTTTGTTGCAGACGGATAAACACAAACCACACTGGTCCAGCAATTCCTTTACACTTCCAACACAAAGGCTACAACAACCATGATCCTTCTCAGCTCAGACTGAGAGTCTCACGTTCTGTGTTGCTATGCAGAAAACCTCTTCATGGCATTCGTTATTTCCACTTATCTGGAGCAACAATAAACCAGAGTAATGGCAGAGCTGTGACACTGTAGTATCTGATAGAGAAGAGATTTAGGAAGCAGACTACCCCAGGTTTATACACTGAGATGTAAAATTTCCACAAATTAAGCTCAGCAGATCTAATTCTCTTGGGGTGGGAGTCACAAGAGGGATTTAGGCATCTGACTGCCATGTGACAGGGTCAGCCACCTCCCAAGCACCTCCTTGGGGCCAGCGGTGGCTCTGCAGCACTGTGCCTCAATTTCTCTGGACTCCTTAATAAACTCCACATTATGGGCCAATGCTGGAGGTGTGGGTTGGCCAAGTCACAAACCAACTAAAAAGTCCCAACAAACGAAAAGGTCTTCCATGTTTCATGGGCTTTTCTTCAGTCTGCCTTCTGGGCCCTGTTTTCATCATCTGTCTGGGCTGCCTTTTAAGTCTTTCCCCCTCTCCAGTATAGAGCACTCAGCCCCCAAGCTCGTTCCCCTTGAGTACCATTCTCCTGCAGACCCTGTAGGTGACTAAATTAGCTAGGTACCTGAGCTGCCAGGAAGTTTAGCACCTAATCCATGCCTAAACCCTGGCAGGATTCACAATCTAGTAGTCATGCTCAGAGCACAACTAAACCAACACAGAACAGCTAGGAGGCCAAGATTCCCCCCTGCTTACTTGGTCAACTTAGAATCCTGCGGCGAGTTGACACAAATAGCTTTTTGATACAAGGAAACTTAGCAGAGTTATGCCTCAGGCACAACTCTGTCCTTGAGACTTCTCCCCCGCCCCCGCTAATGATCTACTAAACATTTGCTCATTGCTGTGCTACAAATAGGACTGCATGTGATCTCTGAGCCTGCAGGTATACTGAACTCTGCTCTCTGAGGTGGGAAGGGGAGGGCTAGTGTTGTGGGTAAGGGTTGGGGATAGAGGTCTGCTGTTTTATAGTGCCACGTTACCTGGACTTAGTTCCACCAACATGCTTCATGCTAAGGGTAAAGTACAACATAATTTCCATCAATAGCCTAAGCCATTTTAAAAGCATTTGCTAAATGCTCCATCCTTTGTTCCTAACTAAAACAGAATCACCATTGAGAGTGGGCAGCTAGATACTGTGATGGGAACTTTACAAATACCATGGGACAGACAGACAGGGTCTCTCTGAAAACAGTGAAAAGTAGTGCCTTGCTAATACATTTATCAAAACTCCGATGTGAAATACTTCCATGGGTGTTTTTCCCTAGATGTCTCCCACAAAAGTATCCCTGACATCAACAATACATAAGGCATTACTGAAACCAGCATTTATTATGTGGATGTAATCTAGGTCAGAACAGAAATTAGGGCTGATAAAAAGTTTCAGAATACAGCAAATAAAAATATCCTTGGATGAGCTTCCTGGGGGTACAGCATATACATAAACATCTCAGCTGATAATGGCCAAACGGTAGAGTGAATAAAAATGTAGCAACAAGTGCAAGTTGTGGGTTCAGCCCCAGAAATCAGGGCTCTTGAAACAACTGCATATAGGGCACTGATAGAATTTAAAGTATCTCTACTCTAGGGTCAGGCCAAACATAATCTACCATAACAGAACCTCTTGCTCCTCCTACTTCCTCTTTTACTTCGTCTTAGGTCACAAGTACCATAGGCATTAACCAAACTTGCTTGAGATATAAAATAGACTAATCACTAGGGACATTGGCCCTGTAACTGTTATCAGACAGAGTATGTATATTTTTAGCTGATTGGTAACAAATTTCCTTGACATACACAGTGATTAGTCTATCCATTGGTGCTTAGCCCCAAACTAAGGTTGCCAGGTGTCCAGTTTTCAACTGAACACCCAGTCAAAAAGAGAGCCTCCCCAGCCCGGTGAAAATGAGCGAGTGAGGGCTGGTCTACACTGGGGGGGGGGGGGCAGAAATCGATCCAAGATACGCAACTTCAGCTACGCGAATAGTGTAGCTGAAGTCAAAGGATCTTGGATCAAATTACCTGGGGTCCAGACGGCGCGGGATCGATGGCCGCGGCTCCCCCATCGACTGCGCTACCCCCGCTCGCTCTGGTGGAGTTCCGGAGTCGACGGTGAGTGTGTTCGGGGATCGATATATCGTGTCTTAACGTGACGCGATGTATCGATCCCGGATAAATCAATTGCTACCCGCCGATACGACGGGTAGTGAAGACGTATCCTGAGTGAGAGTAGGGGAGAGCAACTGACGGAGGGAGGGAGTGGGATGGGGCCTTGGAGAAGGGGCGGGGAAAGGGTGTTTGATTTTGTTCTGTCATTAAATTGGCAACCCTACCCCAAACCCATAGCAGAAAACCTCCCTCTCTAAAGGAAGCATATGTCCTGGTATTTTTCTGGACAGTGCCAGTTTGTCATATGCAGTCCTAATGGTCCAAGATGTTCTTTGGGGCAGCTATAACATCTCAATTTTTCATTTCATTAGTCAAAATCCAAAGTGTTTGTTCAAGAGTATTGCTATACTAAGTAAAATTTGTTGTTTATTAGGAACAAACAGTCTAATGGAATGAATGTTCAGTATGATAAACGTTTGGAGTAAAGAGAAAAATCAAACGAGTGCAGACACTCTCAGAGCTGCTGTTTTGTTTGAGATGAATATGAGTGGCACTTGTGCCAAGTTTCATGATGAACTCATTCAGATACAAAGTTAATAGGGAAAAAAAAAAACAAACACTCCTCTCCCAGAACTATACCCAAGTCTCTGCTGATATTTTTTTTTTAAAAAGCACACTTGTCTTTGGTATCAGTATTTTCGATCCCTAAAAAATGTTGCCACAAAAGAGTCTCAGCTCGTGAACTTAAAAATATGGTCCCTTATCTTTATCCCTACCTTCCAGTTTGAGAGGATTACTGTAAGAGGTCCGGACTCACCCCTGCAGTGCCTCATGCTGGTCATCCAGGGAATTAGCTCACCAGCCCCTAGAGCACCCTCGGCAGGCACGTGATCCGCCTTGTCCTCTTCTGGCGCCCGTGTCCCTCCCAAGACCCCAGTGCCCCTTGCCCTGGGTGCTGCCCCCTGGCAATACCCACACACACTAGGTCTCCCCTCCCAGGGGAACCCCCACCCACTAACCCCACCTCACCTCAGGATAAGGCCACTGCCAGTCCCCAACTAGCCCCCACTCTCTGGGGCAGACTGCAGTATAGGCCACTCATCATCAGCAAGGTTGGGTTTGGACCTGCTGCCTTGGCCTAGCCCTGGGCTGCCCTCTGCAACCCCCAGTACCCCTTGGCCTCCTACTAGGCCACAGCCTGGGGCTATCCAAGCTGGAGCTCCCCAGCCCCTCAGCCTCTCCCCAGCCCTGCTCCACTACAGGTACCCTGTGTCTAGCTCCCTGCAGCCAGGCCCTTCTTTTCCTGATCACAGAGAGAGACTACTAAGCTCCTAGCTCCCAGCCTCTTTATACAGGCCATCTGGGCTCTGATTAGGGTGTGGCCCAGCTGCAGCCACTTCCCCCAATCAGACAGGGTTTTACCTTGCCCCGCTCCAGCCCTCTGCAGGGCTTTTCCAACCCCTCAGGGCAGGAGCAGGTATCCACCCCACTACAATTGCCTAGAGGTGAATGGAAAGCTAAAAGTGCGCCCAACTGATCAAAAATGGTGGGGCCACAAACTCACTCACAGATACTTAGGAGTGGGAGGCACACCAGCAAAATGCAGGGACCTTTCTGAAAATGAGGAGTACATAAACCACTGGGGTCACCACAGTCCTGTGCTATTCAGCAGCAGTAGGAACAACCTCACCACTGTTTTTAAATTAAAGACCCAAATCTGACTATACAAATTTTTGGTGACACATATTCTGTCAATTTATTAATAATCTGATTGCCATAGAAGACTATGAGAGAGAACCCTGGCAGCCAGAGATTAATATCTACTATGTATGTAAAGGATTTATTGAATTTATGAAGTCTCTGCCCTCAGCTGGTGAAGGGATGTTAATAACTGTGATGAAATATAAATTCTGACTGTTTTTACACAGAACAATTTGGCAGATGCGGTGACATTGGATGGTGGCACCATTTATCAAGCTGGAAAGGAACATAATCTGAAACCTGTGGTTGGAGAAGTATATGATCAAGGTATATATACACAAAAGAATTAATAATGTTTACTGTGTAATCTCTGGGGTGAGGACTGTGTCTTCCTACCTGTTTATGCAGTGCCCAGAATATTTTGGGTGCTGCAGCAATGTAAATGATGATAATAAATTAAGGAAGGTCACAATGTGATCATATCTAAGGGAAAGGAAACCCTGTCCTTTCATCAAAGCAGAAACTGTATTTTTTCCTAAAACAACCCATCGCCTCATTCTGAAGCCAGAGAGGAAAGGAAAATGCCCAGCTATAGGATTCAGAGATGATAGAGCCTTTTCTCCTTTCAAGAGTCCATTCTGACCAGTTACACAGAAAATCTCAGTTTATTCCTGAGAATTGGGTGAAATGTGTGGGGAGGAGGGCTGGGGTTTTTTTTAGTCATTTTAGTTAATACATTATTTATTTGTCACATAACTAAATACAGTGTACTCACGTTTATCCAAAACCCTATTATCCTTCCTAGTGAATGAGTGAGTGGGGCCAGGACAGCAGAGGGCTCCATGAGCTGCTGCAGGACTGGGGACATCCAATTCCTGCAGGTGCAAGGTGCAGGGAAGGCTGCAGTCCTGGCAGGGCAGAACAGAGTCCTGGTTGGGGGGGCGGATGCCTCTGACCTGCCCTGCCAGGACTGCAGCCTGCCCCCCCACACCCTGTGCCTGCAGGGATCCGGTGTCACCTCTCAATTATCCGAACTCCCAGTTATCCGAATAAAACCGGTCTCCCCCATGCTATTTGGATAGTTGGGAGTATGCTGTATATAGGGATAAATTCTACAGTTACACCTCTGTAAAGCTGGGGTAGACCACTGAATATTTGGGGAAGCTGGAGAAGCTGCACTGAATGTTGATGAAGTCAATGGCATTAGTTCAGATTTATGCTACTGTAACTGAGAGGCGGATTCTCCCAGCAACCACAGGCCAGTTAAGAATGGGTATTCCAGCCCACACAATGGTGAGATTGTGTCTGGCTCTAGTTTGGATGGACAATAAGGGGGAGGTGAATACTTTTCATAAACACTAGACACAATTTCAGTCCTGGCTTTCGTGGAACACAGGAACTGTGCTGTCTAGTACCTGTAGGAGCACAAATCACTCAGAGGGAGTAGTCAGGGAGGAAAGATGCAGGCTGAGGGGCTGGCCAGGTGCACATCATCGAGAACATGCTGCAATGTGCACACTCCCCATGAAGTACAATGAGTCCCAGAGCTGCTCCTCCTCCTCTATATTGCCTTGTGGCATCCCTGAACCATTGCTTAATTACACAGACTGCCCCAAAACATGTGTATGGATATTTTAGGACAGAATATCTAAGGTAAAAATAGTTCAGGACAACTGGGAGTTCCTAAAAGAAACAACAGTAAAGGCACAACAGAACATAAGAACAGCCATACTGGGTCAGACCAATGGCTGGTGCCAGATGCTTTAGAGGGAATGCACAGAACAGAACAAGTATCAAGTGATTTATCCCCTGTCATCCACTCCCAGCTTCTGGCAGTCAGAGGATTAAGAACACCCAAAGCATGGGGTTGAATCCCTGACCATCTTGGCTAAAAGCCATTGATGAACCTGTCGTCCATGAACTTATGTAGTTCCTTTTTGGCCTTCACAACCTCCCCCGGCAAAGAGTTCCACAGGTTGACTGTGTGTTGTACGAAGTACTTCCTTTTGTTTGTTTTAAACCTGCTGCCTATTAATTTCATTGAGTGACCTCTGGTTCTTCTGTTATGTGAAGGAATAAATAACACTCCCTTACTCACTTTTCTCACACCAGTCACAATTGTATAGACTGCTATCATATCCCCTCCTAGCTGTCTCTTTTCCAAGATGAAAAGTCCCAGTCTTTTTAATCTATCCTCATACAGAATATGTTCCAAACCCTTAGTCATTTTTGTTGCCCTTCTCTGTACCTTTTCCATTTCTAATATATCTTTTTTGAGATGGAGTGACCAGTATGCAGTATTCAAGCAAACTATCCTAATGTGGAGGAAAGATTAAAAAAAATAGTAAGAGACCAATATGGCTGAATCGGGAGCTCTATAAGAACCTGAAAATCCAAAAGGAATTGTACAAAACATAGAAGGAAGGACAAATTGCCAGGATGAATATAAAATAACACAAACATGTAGGGACAAAATCAGAAAGGCTAAGGCACAAAATGAATTACACCCAGCAAGGGACATAAAAGGCAATAAGAAGAGATTCTATAAATACATTAAAAGTAAAAGAAGGATGAAGGAAATTGCAAGTTCATTACTTAACAGATAAGCAGAGCAAATAATCGATGATAGAGAAAAGGCTGAAGTGTTTAATGCCTATTTTGCATCAGTCTTCACTAAGGGCTTGTCCACACAGAATTAGAGCATGGCAAGCCAGGTTATAAAAGTCCAGCGCACTAGCTTGCCATGCATTGTTGCCATGTGGACCCTGCTACCACACACTAAAAGTTCCATGATGTGCTTTGACTAGTGGCAGCTGTATTTGCACAGTGTCAGCACAGCGAGTCAGTGCATGACAGGGCAGTGCACTGTAGATTTACACCTCTGCTTGCTGCACCCTATGTTTTTGTATAGATGAGTCCTAAAAAGGTTAATTGTGACCAGATGCTTAATACTATTAGCAATAAGGTGGGGGAGGGGGCAAGGATCACAGGCTAGTAGTATATCAGTGTCAGAACTGATAATAGAACTTAGGTCTCCTGACTCTGAGGCCAGTTCTCAAGCCAACTGATCATGCTGCCCCCCTGATAGTAACTAAACAAATTTTTTTTAAATCACATTTAAAAATACAGTCGTTCTTGAAAAATGACTCCTGAGGTCCCTTCCAACCCTGATATTCTATGATTCTATGACTCGGGGCTAGAAAATAAGTCTTACTTATTTGAGGCTTAAGGAGCTCAACTTAGCTTATTGAAGAGAGGGTTGAGAGGTCACTTGATCATTGTGTATAAGTACTGACACATGGGGAAAAGACCTGAGAGTGAGGAGCCTTTCATCCTCGCTGAGAATGGCATAACAAGAACCAATGGTTGGAAGTTGATATTAAGTAAATTCAGCCTTGAAATGAGATGCAATTTCCTAGCTGTGAGGATAATTAAATATTGGAACAGCTTACCAAGGGAAGTGGTGGACTCATCATCACATGGAGTCTTTAAAATAAGATTAGATCTCTTTTTAAAATATAGGCTTTCTTCCAGCTTCTGGAGAAATTTTGTGGTTTGTGTGTGTGGGAGGGCAGGAGTAAGACTGGATGGTTGTGGTGGTCCTTTCTGGCCTTGGATTTATTGTGAATCTGAGTCCCTGTGTTAATTTCTTTACTTCATGAGTCATGGAGAGAACAGAATTGTCTGTTTGCATTGCCCTCAGTGTGTTTCTAGCACTTGCAGCTCTGCACTGAATTAATGATTATAATCAAAACTCATGTTTCAGGGCGTCTGCCAGTTGCCTGCAGGAATCAGAAAGGAATTCCCCTCCCCCCATGCACAATCAGTCAGTTGTATTCTGGGTGGTTGTTTCTCCCCCCCCCCCTCTTTCTCTGCACCTTCCTTTGAAGCATCAGAGATTGGCTACAGCTGGAGTGGGACACCAGGCACGGTGGGCTAGGGTGACCAGACAGCAAGTGTGAAAAATCGGGATGAGGGTGGGGGGTAATAGGAGCCTATACAAGAAAAAGACCCAAATATCGGGACTGTCCCTATAAAATCGGGACATCTGGTCTGGTGTTCTGAGGTGGTATAGAGAATCCTTTTTCTTGATGCCTGGCAGCCGTGTCTTGCTCATGTGCTCAGGATCATGCTAATTGCCAGAGTTGGGATTGGGGAGGAATTTTCTGCCAGGTCAGATTGCCTGGGAACTTGGATTTTTTTCACCTTCCTATGTAGGTTGGAGCATGGTTTACCTGTTGGGATCATTTGGGTATATCTCACCTAATCAATTTCCTGCCATTTCAGGAGCCTTGGGCATTGGTGACACTTTGGTCTGTCCCATTCTGTCCATGTGGCATACAGTTTACCTCTCCTGAGGACTGAACTGCTTTAGTTTAACTAATGTCTCTGGGCTTAATATAGTGATAGCTGGGTGAAAAATCATGGCCTTTGATATACATGAGATCAGAATAGATGATCTTATGGTCCTTTCTGGCCTTAAACACTATGAAATTATAAGAGGCTGAAAAAGAGTCAGACACTTGTTCATCCTGGGAAGCAGTGACTCTGAAAAAGACTTGGGGGTCACACTGAATAATAAGCTGAACATGAACTCCCAGTGTGATGCTGGCAGGGCCGGCTCTAGGTTTTTTGCCGCCCCAAGCAAAAAAAATTTTGACTGCTTCTACCCCAGCCCTGGGCTCTCCCCCCCCCCCCCCCCCCCCCCCCTCCCGCCCCAGCCCTGGGCCCCCCCCCCCACCCGCACCCCCTGCCGTCCCAGCCCTGGGCTCTCCCCCCCCATGCAGCCCCAGCTCTGGGCTCCCCCCTTTCCCCCCACCAGTGACCCTCCACCCACACACCCCCTGCCGCCCCAGCCCTGGGTTCTGCCCCCTCCACCCACACCCTCCTTCCGCCCCAGCCCTGGGTCACTGGTAACTCACTCCCAGGGTGGGTCATTCAGCAGGAATTTTGGATGTGCACAGAACACGGACAGGTTTGGTTCCCATATGGTTACAGAACTGCAGTAAAGTGGAACAATTTTCAGCTTGTGTGATTGGAGGATATCTGGATGCATATTATAAGACTGTCCTACATAAAAGAGGAAACCTTGAGGTGCCTTTATTATTCTTTTGTTCCACTCTTTCTTTCTATGGGGAATTTGCCAATGCAATATCACTGTCTTCCTTTTAAATAAATAAAACTACAAAAAAAAGGAATGGCTGTTGAAAATAGCAATTCCAGTCCTAAAAACCACTGGGAAGCATTTCTTGCTCAATTTTATCCTACTTTTTCTACAGCAAGTTACAGAGGATCAGTATATTTGACTTGGGAGAAATGAAGTAACAGCTGCCCAAATTGAGCTTGAGCACTCCTGAATTTTGAGGTGTTCAAATCTGGAAGGCAGGTGCTGGATTCTCTTTCTGAATATTAGCTAAATCTGGAAAGGAAAAGTCAATTTCTGCTTCCATGGCTCAGAAGTGGAAATCCTCCTACGTGCCTGGTACTGTATCTAAAGCTGCCCAGGTCCAGTAGAGCCTCCCCTCCCTTACTTTTCATTTTAAATTCTAGTGGGATCCACATACCTCCCTTGCTAGGCTTCAGATAGAGAGGGGCACTGTCCATTTAGTGCACCCAGTTCCTTCTTTGGGGGCTGCAAGGTGAGGTCACACCAGTATCCCTAATCCGGTCTGGGGATGTCTTCTGAAGGGGATATCTGGGCCAAAGCCTTCTACTCCTTGGGCATACTTGTTCCCCGTTCACAGTGCCACCCCACTCTAGCAGTATGCTCTCCATTCACAGCAAGCTGCAGCATGAGATTTCAGCTAGCATACTCCCTCCCCCTCCCTTTCCTGTTGATAGCGGCCAAGGGAATGCTGGGAAATGTAGTTCTTTCCCTGCTCCAGGGCTGGCTCTATAGGCAGGGAGCTAACCAAGGAACTACAGCTCCCAGGGCCCCCTGTTGGTTCTCAGCTCCCAGGCTGGATTCCTGCCAGCTGCCGCCCCTGCAAATGGGCTGCCCCAAGCACCTGCTTGCTTTGCTGGTGCCTAGAGCCGGCCCTGGATGCTGGGACCAAAAAGGCTATGTGATGTCCGAACAGGGCAATATGGAGGAGGAGTAGGGAAGTTATATTACCTCTCTATTTGGCACTGATGCCCCCAACTACTAAAATACTGTGTCCAGGTCTGGTGCAAACCCTTCAAAAAGGATATTGAAAAATTGGAGGGATTCAGAGAAGAGCCATAAGAATGATTATTAGATTGGAACATATCTTATAGTTAGAAACTCTAGGAGCTTAATCTAGTTATCTTATCAAAGAGACAGTTGAGGGGTGATTTGATCAGTCTACAAGCACCTATGTGCAAACAGAAATTTATCAATCTAGCAGGCAAAGGTATAACAAGTTCCAATGTCTAGAAATTGAAGCTAGACAAATTCAGACAAGAAATAAGATACAAATTTTTAACAGGCAGGGCAATTAACCATCTGAACAATTCACTAAAGATTGTGTTGGATTGTCCATCACTGGCAATTTTAAAGTCAAGATTGGATGCTTTTCTAAAAGATATGCTGTAGTTCAACCACAGCTATTGGACATGAAGCAGGAATTAATTCAGAGAAGTCCTATGGCCTGTATTATCCAGGCAGTTATAGAAAATGATCACAAAGGACCCTTCTGGTCTTAAAATCTATTAATCTATTTGTCCCCTCTTCTCCCCACTCCTCCAAGGTACCTGGATGTTGTCAAAGGGCTTTTTACAAATTCTATTAAAAATGTAAAAAGCAACAGAGAGTCCTGTGGCACCTTTAAGTCCTGTGGCACACGGCTACCCCTCTGATACATTAAAAATGTGTCTTTCCTCAAGTCTAGTCTCTTCTATGTCTGGCTCCCCATCCCCACAACATGATTTGTTATATGCAGAGGTGGATTAAGATTTTTCCGGGCCCTGGGTACAAAGAACATTTGGGGCCCCTCATCCCAGGGGCACTAGAACTGGAGGGGGCAGAGGGACCCGCCCCCCCCCCCACTTTTTAACATGGACGTAGGTATGGAGTGGTGGCAGGAGGGGCTGCGCTTTGTGGCGAGGTGATCAGCTCTCCTGCAGTGAAGCGCAGCCCCTGCTAGTGGCGCCAGTCTCTTCCCAGTGGTGGTGAGAGGCTGAGGTGGGGTACAGCTCCCCACCACCACAGGGCCCCACCCCCTGCTCTTCCTCTTCCCCCTGAGGCCCTGGCCAGGCCAGAAGCTGGAGCCAGGCCATGGTAAGAGCCACCCAGGGAGCCCGGGCCACTGTGGGGAGCCCCAGACTCTCCACCTGCCCTGGGTGGCACGCCCCGAGGGGCAGAGACATGAGCAAGGAGCTGTTCTTGGGCACTCTTCCCCCACCCACCCAGGGCAGGTGGAGGGTCTGGAGCTCCCCACAGTGGCACAGGCTCCCTGGGTGGCTATTACCATGGCCTGCCTCTGGCTTCCGGCCTGGCCAGGGGGTGGGGCCTCAGGGGAAAGAGGAGGAGCATGGGGCAGGGTCACAGTTCCAGCACCGGTGCCCCCTCCCCACTTCTACACAGGTTCTGGTGCTCCTGTGGGGGCCCCCAAATTGGTTGGAGCGCCGGGCACGGGCCCAGCATTAATCCGAAGATTATATGAATTATACTTAGCCATTAGTGCTTTCTATATTCCAAACGCTACACAAAAATAAACAAATAAGTTAATATATGTTAATGAAAGAATGCTTGGGCCCAGTCCTAGATGTCTCACTCATGCTAACAGTCCTACAAGGCCTAATCCTGCTCCAATTGAAGTCAACATGAGGTTTGCCATTTATTTCAATGGAAGCAGGATCATTCTCTTGGCATTTAGTGGGACTAAGATAAATACAGTCTGTAAAATCCGACCTTCTGTCCCTATTTCACTGAGAGGGAACTCAGACATAGGCTTTGTCTACATTAGCATTTTCCTTCAATTCTCCCATCGTCATGGATGCAGCCATCCAAGTGATAACATGATGGGAGTACTAGTGTAGGTAGTCCACTAGCATTTTAACCTCCATTTACTCTTACCCAGCTAAAAGCAGCTCTTTAATTATGCTGGTTAAATGGTAGCTAGTTGGTCTACACTAGTGCTCCCACCATTGCCATTAATACCACTGGTGGAACTGCTAGTGCAGCTGGGTGTTGGGAGAGAAATGTGAAGAAAACTGTAAATGTAGACAAGCCATAGGTGACATCCTGAAGTCCTCAGAGAGTAAGTTAATGGCACTTGTGCAGTTAGTATTCAGGAGTTTTCCAGATTAAGACTCTCAAGCAGGTAAATTTCAAATTAGAGATTAGGCACAAAGTTTTAACAGTGAGGGTGATTAACCAAACTACAAAGGGAAGTGGTGGATTCTCCTTGATGTCTTCAGATCAAGACTGGATGCTTTTCCTTAACCTTCAGTCAAATGCAAGTTATCTTTAGTCAAACACAAATTATGTGGCTCAATATAAAGGTAACTGGATGAAATTTAATGGCCAGTGATACACAGGAGTCGAATTAGAGGATCTAATGGTCCCTTGTGGTGTTAAGCTTTATGAATTTGTGAATCACATCAACCATAAACTGGTGAAAATAATGTTTGCCCCTTCATATTCTTGGTGCTAATGGGCCCTGATGCTATAAAATAAAAATTAATAAATTAGAAGGTAATTATGGGGCTTTTCTTTTACAAATTAAAGTCTAAATATTTCAGCTAAATATGGCTTTATTTACAAAAACATTTACACAAGGAAGAAACAACAGGTCGAATTTATTACTGAGGTCAGTGGCGTCATACCAGGGATGTGATCTTTGTGCCCTTTGAATATGGATGAGGAAGATTAGGAAAAGGTGTCAGGTCAATGTCTCTTATCGTAATACTGCTTCTATATTAGTTTCATTTTGATCCCTTTTTGTTTCTATGCAGAAATTGGCACTTCATACTATGCAGTGGCTGTTGTCAGAAAAAATTCCTTCATTAGCATCAACAGTTTGAAGGGCGTAAAGTCATGCCACACAGGCATCAACAGAACAGTTGGCTGGAATGTTCCTGTTGGCTACCTCATTGATAGTGGTCGCATGTCAGTGATGGGATGCAATGTTCCAAAAGGTAAGGACTGCTGGGATGTAACCTGCTTTCCAGAGAGGCCCTGTCACTGAACATTGGCATGAATATGGGCTCCCTGGATAGCGGAAGCACTCACAGGGACAAGAACCTTGTCTTCTAGCTGATTTTTTCACCTTGTTTTGTTGCTCATTCTAACTGAGAATTGACCTGAAGCAGCTCAGATCAGAATTCAGCCCAGTGTATTTATGTATAAACTGTTTTTAAAAGCCAACAGAAGCTATTATCACTTTTTTAATGTATAGAGATGTATAATTAAGGTTTGTTAAAATGTGTTTGTTGCCATTTTTGGTTTTGGTTTTAGTTGCTAAAATATTGTTACCTTAATTTTACTTGTAGCTGTTAGTGAATATTTCAGTGCAAGCTGTGTTCCTGGAGCCAATAATGTAAATTACCCCAAATCCCTCTGTCAGCTCTGTAAAGGGGACGCATCTGGGCAGGACAAATGTGAAAGAAATTCAAAAGAGCAGTATTATGACTACAGCGGGGCTTTCAGGTAAAGTCTTGGTGTTTAATATTTAACATTTGTCTGTATATGCTGTACCCATTGGCAAGATATCTGAGCCCCAATTGACTTTCAGCAGAATTCCAGAGAGCCAATGAATAATGCTAGTAGAAAATCTGTTAAAACATAAAACTAAGTGAATTTATAATTTGAGGTAATCTTAAAATAATTTCACTATAATTTCATTTCAGTGGTTCCCAAACTTTTTGGCATCACACCCCCTTTTTAATTTTTGAGAAACCCTCATACCCCCACCTCTCCTTTACCATCATCCAACCCCCCCTGCTCCTTGTCCCCCGACCACCCCCTCCCGGGACCCCACTCCCTATCCAACCCCACCCCTGCTCCCTGTCTTCTGACCGCCCCTCCACCCCGAACCTCTGCCCCATCCAACTGCTCCCTGTCCCCTGATTGCCCCCTGAGACCTCCTGCCCCTTATCCAACCCTCTCTCCCCTTGCTCCCTGCCCCCTTACCAGGCTACTCAGAGCGGCAGGGCTGGCTTATTGGAAAGACTGGGAGGTGGGCGGGCGCAAGCTGCACTGCCCGTGCAGCGGCGTTGTTGCAGGGGAGGGAGGACAGAAGGGGAGGGGCCAGAGGCTTGACTCCCCAGCCAGGAGCTCAAGGGCTGGGCAGCCTCATGCCCCCCCTTGGAATTTCTTCACGCCCCCCCCCAGTTTGGGAACCAATGCACTAGTACTCAGGCCAAAGGCATATCTGTTCTTTGATAAAAACTCTAGGTGTCATTACTTGTTTTGTGCATGGAAATCCCATTTAAGTTGTTTTTGTCTTCATCAATATTCACCTCCTGGGAAAACAAATCTTGATATTCACTTGATCACAGATCCATAAATGCTGAACATGCTTGGATTTGATGCAATCTTAACAAGAGCTGATGAGCCCTGACAGTTTTCATACCTGAACATTAGGCTTAGCCAGCTATTTGGTAAATCTGAAGCTTCCCTTTTCAAGTACAATTAGTTCCCTTATCTCTTATTGTGCTCCCCTCCTCCTCCACTTTGCCAATGCCAGCCTCAATACCTCTTCTCTCTACTTCTCCCATTCCTCTGTACCTTATTCTCTTCCCTGCGTGCATGTGTGTCAAACCCTCCCAATCCCCATGGCCTGGACCAGGCCCCCACAGATGTCACAAATTAAAAAATCTGTATAATTTTATTTTAAACAGTGACTCCTCATTCCAGATTTTCCAGTGGGTCTTGTGTGTCTGAGACTGTAGATTTTTCAGGGCAGGGAATCATTTGATATTTGTGTCTTGTATCACACCAAGCATTGTCAGCACCTGCCCTACTAGCCATTAGCCTCTGCCTTGATCCTTACACACAGCATAAAGACAGCAAATAGTTCAGCATCTTTCTACTGGTGGTCTTTGGGTACATTGCACTGCACAGGCCTACTGTTGTCACTGAGCAGTATTCCATACTTACGATTAATAGTGTATAAATATAGTCTGATTTATGGTAGGTGTTTGGCTGAAGGAGCTGGAGATGTCGCCTTTGTGAAGCACAGCACAGTGTCTGAAAACACAGATGGTGAGTAATGTAAGGGTTCATCTCTCACTTGAAAGTCCAGCTGTATTCTCTAAAGCGTTGCAAATCTGGTGACCCCAACAATAAGAGCAATGTCATATGTTCAGAATTTATTCTGATGCAAGGAATAAGCAAAGATGCAATAAAGCCAGAACACCATGTGAACACAAGGGAAAGAGAAATGTCCCCAAGTCAGACATTTTCAAATCAACTGGCAATTTCAGCAAAAAGTAAAGTGGGATCTTTAATTGCACTCTGGAAGCAGAGATTAACCTGAACCAAAATCCTGGATCCAAACAGTCTTGGACTTTGGGATAGTTTAAAAGTTGAATACAAATAATTGTGGCTTAGGCTCCTCTCTACTCAGAAATCTCAGCAAAAACAGGCAGAAGGGAGCTTAGTTTGTGGTACCACTAATCAATGCAACCACCCCTATACCCATGGCATTTATTGAGTATACCTGTGAGTATATACCACTTAGATATCAAGGTCCCACTTTTTAAATCCAGTGGAGCTCCATTTAGTGCAGGACACCAGGGTGGGTGGGTGGGTCTAAAAGTTTGTTCTGGGCCACCCTTGTGGCCCCTGGATTTTAGGACCATCTCAGCACTGCTGTGGTCCCCAGCGTAATTCAGAGCTGCCTGCACACAGTTTTAATTTCTGTTCAACTGCCTATAGTCTCATAGGGTTATATCTGAAGCCAAAGGAATAGCTTCAACCATATTATATTTCCCCCAACCATACATTGGAGAATACGAGGTGATAGGGTGGCCTACAGCCACTCTGTTGGTTCTTCACCTCTTAGAGAGTACCCTTAGACAGGGGAAATTCTCGAGTAGCTTGTTAAGCCAGCTTTCCTCCTGCTTTATGCAGCTGTAGGGAAAATCAGGCAGAATGTAGTGGAGAATTGCTGCTCATGTGATTAGGTACCTTAGAAATAGTGTGGCTGGATGGGTAGAGCAGAGTCAGAGGGAGACAGATGCATCAGCAGCTCTGTGTCCATCAGTGTGATTCTGGAAGCTGTTTCATAACTGTGTTTTATTTGATTTCAGGCCAGACTCCTTCCTCATGGGCCCAAGAGCTTCACTCCAGGGACTTCCAGCTTCTCTGCCGCGATGGCAGCACAGCTGAGGTTACAGACTGGAGGAAATGCCACCTGGCCCGAGTCCCAGCTCACGCTGTTGTCGTCAGACCTGACACCGATGGGTCACTCATCTTCCAGATGCTTAAGCAGGGGCAGGTGGATTACGTTTTTTGGTGTCTGTACTGATTTTTTAGTTGCCCCTCCATCCACCTGGCTTGATCCTGTGGGATGCTGAGCACCTTCAGCTCAGTGAGAATTAAATGGGAGTGGAGGGCACTCAGCAGCTGAGAAGATCAGGCCTAGAGATGGATTTCAGCCACAAAATGTGGCTGTGGTCTCACACCACTTTCTTTGCCCCCAAATACCAAGAGACACTGAACAAGGCTTGAGGGGCAATTGTTTATGCCTTGTGAAGGTACAAGTGAGATAGTGCCCTCAATGCCAAGGTTTCCAACTAGACTTTACTTTCACCCCAGACTTAAACATTACTTAAGCTATGGCCTGGTGTACACTACAACTTAGTTTGACCTAGCAACTCATTCAGGGCTGTGAAAAATGTTGCACCCTGAGCACCGTAGTTAGGTCGACCTAACCCCTGGTGTAGATGCGGCTAGATTGATGGAAAGATTCTTCCATCAACCGGGCTACTGCTTCTCAGAGAGCTGGATTACCTACATTAGTGGAAAATCTTCTTCCATTGATGTAGGAAACATCTACACTGTGGCAATACAGCAGTAGCCCTGTAGCTGTGCTGCAGTAGTGTAGACATAGATTATACCAGCATAGCCATGTTCGCGTACCTATGCAGGCATAACCCCATAGTGTAGCTGCAGCCTATGCCAACAAAAGAGATTTTTCCATCAGTGTAAAGATGCCACCTCCCCGAACAACGGCAGCTGTATCAACGGAAGCATTGCCAATCAACATAGCTGCATTTCCACTGGGGTTTCGGTCAGTAGAGCTATGTCAGTCAGGGGTGTGGTTTTTTTTAAACACACTCACTGAGGGAGCCATGTCAACCTAAGTTTTTAAGTGTAGACCAAGCATTAGATAAAGGTGTGTTTGCCTTATAGACACTTTCTCTTTCCTTAATGTTACAGCAAAGATTTCAGATGTTTGACTCTGCGGCTTACAATGCAAAGAATCTTCTCTTCAAAGACACCACCACAGAATTGGTTCCAATCACAAATCAGAACTACCAGGCTTGGCTGGGTGACGAATATATGCATGCCATGCAAGGCTTGAGCTGCGATCCCACCAGTAAGTTGGGCCTTTGGATTTGCCTCTGTAATCACAAGTAGAGGTACTCTTACAAGAGAGACCACCTTGATTTTGTTTGAATTTATGTTTGCATCCTGACCTTTTGAAGAATCCTTGGAGCACAAAGACCCAAACATCACACTGGAGTGGGAAAGGAGACCACTCTGAATTTGAGACCATGAAACATTGCTTCAAGGATTCACCTACCATGGTATAGGAGCAGCAGGGGTATCTATGCTGAGCGAACTGATCAGGATGTGGCTCCTCTTCCACAGGGTGGGCATAGAAAGCAGAGTGCTGATCATTGAGCTCAGTACAAAGACCCAGAGGGAGACCAAAGAGACAGGATCCTTCAATTTTAGACTGATGCTTCATTTAATTGTAATCTATCCCTAGCCCTGAGACAGAATGCACACAATACTTGCAACTGGGGCACCACAAATGTGCAGATTTGTGTCGTGTTAACTACATCAGTAGTTCCCAAATCCTGAAATGTACACTGACTGGTGATGAGATCTCATGGTTTCTTTCCTATTCTATCTTCATTCTTGCAGCATGCCCCTCTCGGTGGTACCTGAGCACCTGGTACTACAGTCTTCTTTCCCCACATTAATATTGTAGTCTCTGTGTTGAACCACAAACTCCTATTAAAAATCCCCAAACTGCAATTTGGAGCCAGCAGAGCTTCATTGCAAACTGCATGAAAAGTAGACCCATCTTGCCCATATGAGTGGGAGGGGTTTTAGTCTGGTAAATTCGTACTGTTGCCTGAAAAGACTCCCTCATTTACAGCTTCTATTCCTTTTCTTTTTCCTGGACCACTTAGGGTTTGTTTTGATATGCTGAGTGCCCACATTTCAGTCAGTTAAGTATCATACTGCAGCCAGAAACATGTGAAACATACAGCTCCAAATCCTGCTGTCCTTTAGGCAAACTAATGGAATGGGTTTCTCATTGTTTTGGTGGGTCTTTTGCTTGAAAAAGGATTAAGAAAGAATGGCAGGATTTGTCCTACTGTTTGGTTCCACCTCATTATGTTCTGTTAGCAGGTTTATTCCTTTGGTGCATGAAAATTTATTCTAGGGCTGTCGATTAATCACAGTTAACTCACGCGATTAACTCAAAAAAAGTAATCACAATTAAAAAAATGAATCGCAATTAATTGGAGTTTTAATCACACTGTTAAACAATAGAATACCAATTGAGATTTATTAAATATTTTGGATGTTTTTCTACATTTTCATATATATTGTATTCTGTGTTGTAATTGAAATCAAAGTGTATATTATTTTTTATTACAAATATTTGCACTGTAAAAGGGATAAACAAAAGAAATAGTATTTTTCAATTCACCTCATACAGGTACTGTAGTGCAATCTCCTTGTCATGAAAGTGCAATTTACAATGTAGATTTTTCTGTGTGTTACATAACTGCATTCAAAAATAAACCAATATAAAATTTTAGAGCCTGCAAGTCCACTCAGTCCTACTCCTTGTTCAACCAATTGAAAAGACAAACAAGTTTGTTTACATTTACAGGAGATAATACTACCCTCTTCTTAGTCACAATGTCACCAGAAAGTAAAGAACAGGCATTCACATGGCATATTGTAGCTGGCATTGCAATATATTTAGGTGCCAGATATACTAAACATTTGTATGCCCCTTCATGCTTCGCCCACCATTCCAGAGAACATGCTTCCATGCTGATGATGCTCGTTAAAAAAATAATGAGTTAATTAAATTTGTGACTGAACTCCTTGGGGAAGAAGTGTATGTCTCCTGCTCTGTTTTACCTGCATTCTGCCATATATTTCATGTTATAGCAGTCTCGGATGATGACCCGGCATGTTGTTCTTTTTAAGACCACTTTCACTGCAGATTTGATAAAATGCAAAGAAGGTACCAATGTGAGATTTCTGAAGATAGCTACAGCACTTGACCCAAGGTTTAAGAATCTGAATCTGAATCTTTCAAAATCTGAGCGGGATGAGGTGTAGAGCATGCTTTCAGAAGTCTTAAAAGAGCAACACTCCAGTGTGAAAACTACAGAACCCAAACCACCAAAAAAGAAAATCAACCTTCTGCTGGTGGCATCTGACTCAGATAATGAAAGTTTGAATTGTTATTGAGAAGAACCTGTCATCCGCATGGATGCATGTCTGCTGGAATGGTGGCTGAAACATGAAGGGACATATGAATCTTTAGCGCATCTGGCACGAAAATATCTTGCGATGCCAGCTACAACAGTGCCATGAAAATACCTGTTCTCACTTTCAGGTGACATTGTAAACAAGAAGCGGGCAGCATTATCTCCTGCAAATGTAAACAAACTTGTTGTCTGAGCGATTGGCTGAACAAGAAGTAGGACTGAGTGGACTTGAAGGCTCTAAAATTTTACATTGTTTTATTTTTGAATGCAGTTTTTTTGTACATAATTCTACATTTGTAAGTTCAACTTTCATGATAAAGAGATTGCACTACAGTACTTGTATTAGGTGAATTGAAAAATACTATTTCTTTTGGGTTTTTTTACAGTGCAAATACTTGTAATCAAAAATAAAGTGAGCACTGTACACTTTGTATTCTGTGTTTGTAATTAAAATAATATATTTGAAAATGTAGAAAACATCCAAAAATATGTACATAAATGGTATTCTATTGTTGTTTAACAGTGCGATTAATCACGTGATTAATCACGATTAATTTTTTTAATCGCTTGACAGCCCTAATTTATTCCTTTCTAGGAGACTTCACTCCAGCTGCAGAAACAAAGAAGCTCCTTTTCCAAACACATAGGATGTTTTAATGCATTTTCAGGGCTCAGCTGTTTTGCAGCAGTGCTCTGTGCCTTTTGTGTGTGTGTCTCACCTTTCCATTCTTTCCCTTCTGTTCAGTGGCTGGTGAGGGAAGTGGTTCAGCTCCTAGGCTAATTTGGAATAGCCAGGGCAAATTAAGGCAATCTGGAGCCCCGGGCATACTCAGCATGGAGTCGCTAGGGCCCTGCCCCAACACCATGGTTCAGTTACTCTTGGAGTGGCAGCAGGTTCCAGAGTGTAAGGAAAGAGGCAGCTCACACCTGTTGAAGCCATTGTTCTAGCACACTTTGGTAGGCATTAGTTACATTCAGGTTTTTCAAGCTTTTCTTTGCATCCATGCATCCTAAAAATATTATTTTTCATAATGAGAGTTGAGATTCTGATCCCAGAATCTGACTCTAGGAACTAGGGCCCTGGGCATAGGCCTAGAATGCTGAAACCTTAATCCAGACTGAATGAGCAGCCTCGGGACTGCTCTAAATTGTGCTGGTTTGTAACAACCACACACATCCCTTAAATCAGCCAGAGATCTCCAGACTGAAGTGTACTTTGACCATGTGCTGCCCCATCCACAGTTTATCGCCTACAATGAAGAGGCTGAGAATGGGTGGTATAGAGCTGGCTTATATATAAAGAGAGGAAGGAGGTGGTTACAACACCAGTGTAGGGCTTGGCTTCAAGTCCTACACTAGTACACCATTGAACTCCTGTGTGACCATGGACAAGAGACTTAGCCTCTCTCTGCTTCTGTTCCCCATCTGTTAAATGGGTATATCATAGCACTTTCCTACCATGCAGCAGTGTTGTGAGGAAAATACATTAAGGATAGTGGGACCACGGCTCTGGGCCTCAGACCAGGAGCTCTGGAACAGGGGTGGCCAGGGGGCCATGGCCCCATCATTTTTTACTGGCCATAAGGGCGAGCGATGGGAGGGGGAGAGGTGGAAAGGAGCAAGCAGGGGACAGGGTTTTGGGGGAAGGGGCATGGTGGGGATGGGCCTCAGGGGAAGGGACAGCACGGGTGTAGGGCCTCAGGGGAAGGGGTGGGTATTGGGGCCATGTTTCCGACGCTGGTGGCCCTCTCACTTTTAGGAGCCTTCTGCCACTCCCGCCTCAGCCTATAGATTATAATTAAGACTACGTTTTAGTCATGGGTATTTTTAGTAAAAGTCATGGACAGGTCACGAGCAGTAAACAAAAATTCATGGCCCGTGACCTGTCCATGACTTTTACTATATACTCCTACCTAAAACTTGTGTGGGAGGCTGCAAGTGCTCTGGGGCCTGGTGATCTGGGGGCACTGCAGGTGCTGGAGGAGGTGGCCCGGGACCCCCGCTGGTGCTGGGGGCGTGGGCATTGGCATGTGGCCCGGGACCCCCGCTGGTGCTGGGGGGAGCAGGGTGGGAGTTGGTTGGCAGGGCTCACAGGGGCTGCCTACCTGGCTCCACATGTCCCTGCAGCTCCTAGGCGGTGGAGGGGCCAGGGGGCTCGGCGCGCTACTCCCATCACAAGCGCTGGCTGCGCAGCTCCCATTGGCTGGGAACTGCGGGGGCAGGCAGCGTGTGGAGCCCCCTGGCCCCTTCACCTAGGAGCTGCAGGGCCATGCCAGTGGGAGCTGCGAAGCCCCCCACCCTGAGGTAAGCCCTCCCCGCATCCCCTAGCCCTGAGCCCCCTCCCATACACCCAAACTGCTGCTGCTGGTCCAGGGGCTACCTGGCTTGGGCAGCCCCTGAGCCAGCACCGGCCGGTGCAGAAGTCACGGAATCCATGACTTCCATGACAGAGTCACAGCCTTAATTATAATACAGAACACAGGCACCAACTTTCCAATGTGCCGGCGGGTGCTCGACCCCTGGCTCTGCCCCAGGTCCTGCTCTCCCTCCACCCATTCCCCCAAGGCCTTGCCCCCACCTGCCCCTGTCCTGCCCTCACCCTGCCTCTTCCCACCCCTGCTCCACCCCCCAACCCACTGTGACGGTTTGGATCACAGAAACCCCCTTGGGAGCTGCCACCCGATGTGCCAAGACTACCCCTGCTTCTGTTTTCCCTGCCAGCTCAGGACTCCAGCACCCCGTCTTGCTGAATTAGACACTCCAGTCCACTTCAACACAGACCCAGGGTCTGAATTACTTGTCCCAAAGCTGCGAGTTTACCCAAAAACAGCTCACAGGAGTGTGCTTGTCTTTAGCACTCAGATGCCCAACTCCCAATGGGGTCTAAACCCAGATAAATCCGTTTTACCCTGCATAAAGCTTATGCAGGGCAAACTTTGTTCGCCCTCTATAACACAGATAGAGAGATATGCACAGTTGTTTGCTCCCCCAGGTATTAATACATACTCTGAGTAAATTACTAAATAAAAAGTGATTTTATTAAATACAGACAGTAGGATTTAAGTGGTTCAAAGTAGTAACAGACAGAACAAAGTAAGTCACAAGCAAAATAAAATGCGCAAATCTATGCCTAATCAAACTAAATACAGATAAGTTCCTCACCAGTTCCAGAATGCTCCCTTTCACAGGCTAATCTCCCTTTAGCCTGGGTCCAGCAATCTCTCACAACCCCTGTAGTTACTGTCTTTTGTTTCAGTTTCCTTCAAGCATCCTGGGGGGGTGGAGAGGCTCCTTCTTTAGCCAGCTGAAGACAAAATGGAGGGGTCTCCCCCAGGTTTAAATAGACTCTCTCTTGTGGGAGGAGACCCCCCTCCTCCCTCCTATGCAAAGTCCAGCTCCAAGATGGAGTTTTGGAGTCACCTGGGCAAGTCACATGCCCCTGCATGACTCAGTCTTTACAGGCCGACGCCATTGTCCACATGGTATCTTGCATGTCTCCAGGAAGACTTCTTATGTGGATTGGAGCATTCCAAGATGCATTGTTTCCCGATCAGGTACTTAACCTGGCAAATTCCTTCCTAAAGAAGCTGACCAAATGCCTCACCAAGCTTACTTAGAAATCAAGCAAGCATACAGCCCATATTCTTAACCTCAAGTAGAAAATGGTATATATGTACAAAGGATTAATAGATATAGTAGACCATGTCACAGGCAGCACAAAACATATTTCAGTTATATCATACATACATTTGTAAACACCCACCCATAAAGCCTTATGGGGTACGCTGTCACACCCACTTCTTCCTGCCCCAGTCCATCCCCTCCCCCGAGTGCGCCGCAACCTCGCTCCTCCTCCCTCCCCACAGAGCCTCCTGAACACTGCAAAACAGCTGATTGTGGTGGGCAGGAGGCACGGGGAGGGAGGAGGAGGCGCTGATTGGCAGGGCCTGCTGGCAGGCTGGAGGCCCTGCAGGGAGGTGGAGGTTCTGATAGGGGGGCTGCTGGTGGGTGATCAGCACCCACAATTTTTTTCCCACGGAGTCGGCGCCTATGATACAGAATATTCTTAAAATCCCTATACTAGAAAATGAACTTTCATGGTAGCTTGGACCATGTTTGCTTTCCCTTCTCAGAACCCAGAACAGTTTCAGTAATGGAGCCTTTGCCTACAAAACTTGTCTGTTTTGCTGGTTTTCCAGAATCAGTTGGCCTTGAGAACCCACCAGATGCATCTGTTCAGGCTGGCCTATGGTTTAACTTTTGAGATAGTGTAATTAGGATGACCAGACAGCAAATGTGAAAAATTGGGACTGGGGTGGGGGGGTAATAGGCGCCTATATAAGAAAAAGACCCAAAAATCAGGACTGTCCCTATAAAATCAGGACATCTGGTCAACCCTAAGTGTAACCCACACACCTCCTGGGTGTGGTGTTCTGTCCTATCTAGTGTTACAGAGACCACTTAGAGGGAGAGATAAAATGAGTCTGCTCTACAGCCTTAGCTAACAGCCAGTTGGCTTTTAGCTCATGCAGTAGAGCAGGCCTGCACAACATGCGGCCCGGGGGCCGCATTCGGCCCTCGTGGGCTCATTGTGCGGCCCGTGGGGGGTGAGTAGGCAAGCGGTGGGTGAGGGAGGGGGGCTGAGGAGGCGAGCGGGCAGGCAGTGGGGCAGGTGAGCCGGCGGCTGAGGAGGCGAGCGGGCGGGTAGTGGGGGGGGGGGCAGGTGAGCTAGCAGCAGGGCGAGGGGGGGGCTGAGGAGGCGAGCCGGCAGGCAGTGGCGGGGGGGCAGGTGAGCTGGCGGCTGAGGAGGCGAGTGGGTGGGCAGTGGCGGGGGGGCAGGTGAGCCGGCGGTGGGGGGCTGAGGAGGCGAGCGGCGAATCGGTGGCTTAGCTGGTCTACTGATCTGGTCTGGCTCCCATCCCCTCTCCAAGGGTTGCAGCTGTCTGGAGGTGCCTGCCTTCCATGCCTTCCTCATTCACACCTCATTCATTCAACAGGGCAATTGATTACAAAGGAGGGGGGGAGAGATCTTATTCTACTTCTAGCAAAAAGACATTTTTCTTTTACCTTAATTATACTACCTTAGGAGCCCGCTATAACATATTACAAAGGTTCAATACTGCTGTTTCGGTGGGGCGGCGCTGGGGAAGGAGGGTTTGTTTCCGCGAGGCGGGCGGCACTGGGGGGGGGGTTTCAGCAGCTCGGGGGGGGGGGGGGGATTCAGTGGGGGTGGGGGGTTTTGGCCCTCAGCTGTTTTCTTTGGAGTAATATGGCCCTCGCCACTTTACGAGTTGTGCAGGCCTGCAGTAGAGGCTCATACACTAAGCTCCAGAGGTCCTAGTTCAATCCCACCTGCTGACAACCGAGGTCTGTCAGCATTACAATAGCACACTGGATAGGGCAACAGCAGCAGGAGTCATTTATCCACCTTATGTGAATGGATTTGTAGTGTAGTCAGCAATTCCTTCCATGGCTGCTAAGACTAGTCCAGTAGTTAGGGAGACCCTGTGTGGTACCATTAAGCAGCACAGGCAGTGTTTTCTTAGTTTAGGAGCTAGAGAGAACCATGGGGTCTGTTTGTGTCATAAGTATCAGCAAAGAATTGTCTTTATATTCATTACACCCCAGCCCTCTTTATTCTGTACTGTGAGGTTTGCTACCATTGTGTTAATTTCTAAGTGTGCATTTTTAATAAGGTGAGGGGCCTAGGTATATGGTAATGAGCAGAATATATACATGTTTACATCTATTACATTTAATCCCTATTATTTTCTTTCAAATTGAATGCAGGGTTACCAGAAAGCCTGCGATGGTGCGTTGTGCTCACTGAGGAGATCTGGAAATGTAGTGAAATGGCTGTTGCCTTTAAAAAAAAGAACTTGAAACCAGAGATCCAGTGTGTTTCAGCCAAGACAACAGAACAGTGTATGGAAATGATCCAGGTGGGCTTGTTACTATGCTTTGTATGAACCATACTGGTTCTTGACCATGAATATATTGTAATGCATTAGTTAAGGAGTACGTTTACAACTGTCCTCTGCTGGATAGAATCAGAACTACTCAAGTGTATGAGATTGGCTCTGTATGTAAGCAGCAGGCACTGGCGGGTAAATCCAGGAGATTACAGAGGATTCTCTGTAGGTCTTGTGGTAGAGGCCTGAGATTTTGGAGTGAGGATCTCATGCTACTGTGTCCAGAGAGATATCTGTTTCCTATTTCTTCACCTCTGATATCTCTTCCACTTCTGTTTTCCCAAAATATTTTAAAGATAAATACACAAACATTGAGGTGGGCAAACAATTGCCTTTCCACCCTCCAACAGGCGGTCTGAAACCGAGAGAAAGAAAGTCCTTTAGTAGTGATTAATAGCTGCCTTTCGAATACTTACCTGCAGACAACAGGTACAGCAGTTCAAGGATAATTTTGTCCGGCTTTATCCAACTCATCCAGACTCCTCTTTTTTTAATTTGTTCACAATTTTTCTTTGCCATGGGATGTAGATTACTGGCAGACTTCAGACCTTCTATCACACTACATAGATTAATGTTATAATTTACCAATCAATAAATTTCTTGTTAAAAAGTGGCCTAGTACCATACTGTAAAATCACCAGTCTGTTGTAAGTGGCTGGATCCCATGTGCTTCAAAGCCAAGTGGATCTGGGGGGAGTCAAGTAACTGTTTCTAGCTCTGGCAGTCTAGCGCATACTCCTGGGCTCAGACCTCTTGTCTGATGCCTTTCTTTTAACATGGGGGTACTGCTGCCCAACTGCCCTATAATCCAGAATCAGTTTCTGAGGCCTCCTGAGCCCCCCAGTTGCTTACATGTGCCCCCCCTCCTAGTTCTACGTAGGCTATGGGCATACTTGTTTAACCCCTTTAGGATCAACATGGCAGGACAGCAAAGAACAAAGGCTTAGAAAAAGAATTTCTTAACCACAGTGCAGGAGTGCTGGAACAATTTTTATAGTGGGGGTGCTGAGAGCCATTGAACAAAACTGTAAACCCTGTGCATAATGGAAACCACTTCCAGCCAGGGGGTGCACTGCACCCCTGGTTCCAACACCTATGCCACAGTGACTTTACTCTTAAAGCACTTGAGCGTTACAGGTTTTTTCCAAATAACCAAAGTCCCAAGGTACTCTCTCTCTAGTCTGGGCTTAAACCATGGACTGTACAGTCCATGGTTTGTCAGTATTTCTGGCTGTGCAGAGCCCTCTTGCACTCCTCTCCTGAAGTCCTGCTTACATGTGGCAATGCTTGGCCTCCCTATACAGAGCAGAACCCTTCTCTTAACTAGGACCTCCGTTTTTGTGCCAGCTGAAGTTCCAAATACACCAGTGTGCTTGCCTCTCCCGCTTTCACTCTGTAGGACTCTGTATAAAAATTCCATTGCTCCAGGCGAGTAGTTGAGAGTCAAAGTCAATAGATTTTTAACCTTGATGGCTCTGTGGTGGTCCTTCAACAAGGTGTCAAATGCCTTTTGTGGGCAAGGTGGCTGTCAGGAATATTACATAACAGGCTGCCCCATGGTAGAACCAAACTAACACAGCCACAATGCCAGTATTTTAATACAGGTACAAAATAGTCTTCACAATTTGATAGTCATATCCCACTCTATCATGCCGATAAGCAGTAAATGCAGTTGTGACTTGTATAAGCTATGCCATTAGTCTAAGATCATGCACTACTGCCAAAGGATTAGAAAATTTGTTTTAAGAGAAAAAAAATTAGAAATTTATTTAGCTTAAGAGCTATGGGAAAGACTTGAATATCTGAGTTTTATTCCTATTACCACTGTGAAGTTCTGAATAATTCTGAGGTGCAGAATAGTGATAGCTGTGAAGCCCTAGGTGGCTATAGATTTCTTACAATATCATGTATCTATAGATCCTTTATCAGCTGAAATCCATTGGTGCCACCTACAAACAAGATTAGTTATTGTGGCAGAGCTCTGACCTTGTCCCCGTGGGTCCTGCGCTTCTAGGTGGTATATGCTAGCCTCAGTGGCTCTCTGCAACCCTCCATGTGGCCCTTCTCTCTCTAGGGCCAGGGTTACAGTCTACTGAGCCCTTTTCATCATAAGCCAGCAAGGAGGTTGGTGAGAGAATTCCCACAGTCTCTGTTGTCCCTAGGGCTTGTTTTAGAACAGTTTAGCTTCCTGTCCTGACAGGGGCCTGACTTCCCCTCCCAGGAGGTGTTCCTGTAGTGGTGGGTTGGGGGGAACCCGGGCCCGCTCTCTACTCTGGGTTCCGGCCCAGGGACCCTAATGATAGCAGCTGTTGGCAGCCAACTTTTCACTGCCAGAGTTGCTACATTTCCCTGGGCCACTTCCCCACAGCTCTCCTGCTTCTCCCTTCTTCACCCTTACCTTAGGGCTCCCTTATCAATAACTTGAGGGTGTCTTCATTAACCAGTCCTTCAGCCATACTTCCTCCCCACTGACTGACTGGAGTGAGCCCTTTTTATAGTATCAGTGGGGCCTTAATTAGAGTCAGGTGGTCACATTAGCTTAATGGCCTCACCTGACTCTTTGCAGGTTAATTGGAGTCAGGTGTTCTCATTAGGCTGGAGCAGCCCCTGCTCTGGTCAGTCAGGGAACAGAAAACTGTTAATCCAGTGGCCAGTATATCTGCCTTCTGCTATTCTGCTGTACCCAGCTGGCCTGGGTCTATCACATTATGTAGTCACTTTATTTAAAAAGATGAGTCTGCCTCTTTTATCCAGTATTAAATTGCAGCTACCCTGACTATGGCCACTGTGCTGCTTTGACGGGAGAAGAATGCCATTAGATTACACATAGAAATTCAATGAAACTATCCCTGGGGCAGAATTTATTTTACAGTTAAATAAGTAATAATGGCCTCTGTATAAATTCTTCAGCAATCTGAAGTTGAATTTGAGTTCAGTCTTATTGTGTTTGTCCATTTTAGAGGAAACTTGCTAAAACATCACTAATAAAACTGAGGTCCACCATGTCCTGTTCCTGTTGAGATTGAGACATGTCCCATGACCCAATAATACAGCTAAGGGTGTGTCTTTATAGCACAGTTACCGTGAGTTATAACTCAAGTGTTAACCCTAACTCGACTCCTGTCCACACGCAAAAATCCCTAGCTCAAGTTAAATGGTGCTCTAAACGTGAACTAGTTGGCCAGTGTGGCAAGTGGGGAGGGGTTGAAGCTCTCAAGCAGTGCTGATGTTGGAGCTAGTAATGCAGAAGGGATGCAACAGCTACTCAGAAGCAGCTAATCCAATCACTATGTGTAACTCCAGTGCTGTTTTGAATTGTGGTCACTCTCACTTGAGCTAGGTTAGCTCAAGTACAGTGACTCGAGTGTGCTAACTGAAGCTAACTGTTGCAGTGAAGACAAGCTCTATGTCTTCCCAGTTAATTCCCACCCTCATTTCAGAACACAGGGCTGCTTTGGACTCCCTGTGATCCACCATCCATGGGCTGGATCCTAGCATGAGAATGTGGCCAGGACTAGCAGTGGGAAAATGGAAGAGGCATGCCATGGAGGAGAGGAGTTTCTGTCAAAAGGATATGGGGCTCTTTAGCAAAAATCATAATCTGACTGGGCCTTCCAAGGTATGTCTATATGACCCAAAAAACCCCTGCGGCAGTGAATCTCAGAACCCAGGTCTACAGGGTAGCACTACAGCGCTAAAAATAGTCTTGTAGACATTCAAGCTTGAGCTCTGATGTACGGATAGGGGCATGAGATTTAGAACCCAAGCAGCCCAAATATCTACACAGCTATTTTTAGCACCGTAATGTGAGCCCTGCAAACCAAAGTATATAGACCTGGGCTCTGAGACTGACTACCACGGGGGATTTTTGCCATGTAAACATATCTTCAGTGGCCAAAAGCCTTCCCACCACAGTGTCACCAATGACTCTAGTGATCTAACCTTCTTAACTCCTTAACACTGGCCAGCATCCTAAGGGTTAAACCTGTTGCTGCAGAGATTGCATGTCTGCATTTTTGCATCTGAGGCTTGTCTGTTTATTAGATTTTATTCTGAAATTTATGGGTATGATTTGACAGAAAAATCACTTCGGCTTATCCACAACCAGCTGAAGAATATGCTTAAAGTTGATTGGTCTGTGGCGCAAGACCTGGGAGTATTTTTACTGGGCCAGGATTCATTTCAGGGGTGATAGAGGATGAGGCAGCTGATATTGTGCCCCCTGCATCCTTGTTCTGAGAGATGCTTGAACTAGATGTGTGTCATCACTGTGTCTAGCAAAGATTTCTTTTCACACAACTCATGAATTTTATTTCCTTTCAGAAAAAAGAAAGTGATGCTGTAAGCGTGGATGGAGTTGATATTTACATAGCTGGAAACATGTATGGCCTAGTGCCAGCTGCTGGGGAAAGTTACTCTGGTAAGAAGAGCAGAGAACATAGGGTTTCTGTTTTCCAGGCTGTTTGAAAACACTGTAGAAACATAGTTTGAGGTCAGTGGATCTGTCTGGAAAATCATTTTTCAGACAGAAGCTAAACAATACATTTGATCCAAAAAAAAAAAAAAACCACACCTTGAACTTACGTAACTCAGTGTTGATAAAACTGGGCTGCCCTGGTAGTCTGTTAACTGAGATCATCAGGTGGGAATGAGGTTTACATCATGTACTGAGCATGAACTTCAAAAATATCCATCTCCTTTCTGACCAGTTAGGACATCTTACAATATACTGTCACAGTAAAACATGCAGTCTTGCACAAATTAGGTGCATTATAGAAAGTTTGTCTCTCTCTCTGACCCTCTGGCATTAGTCACTGGTGAAGGAAGGGTACAGAACTGTGTAGACAACTGATCTGCACTATGGTGCAGCTTCCCATTATGTAACATGTATATTTGCTATATTTATTGAAATTATAATAGAGTTTTAGCATTTTATAATACAATATGAACTCTTCATGAATTAAGGATATAACTTGGGAGCATGGGCGGTGGGTATCACAGGCTGGGGGAGGCTGAGCCTCCCCTAACAGCCAGGCGTGGCCCTGCCAAGGCTCCACCCCCAGGCCTGCCTCTGTGGCCCGCCCTGTGTGGTGGCCCCAGCCGGGTGCTCCTGGGCTGGGGCTGCATGGGCTAGCTGCCAAGGTGGGGGTGGAGGATTCCGGTGGGGGAAGGGGCAAGGCCTCAGGTGGAAGGGGCGGGGCTGGGGCTAGGCTCCCCCAGCCAGCAGTTCACATGCCACCCATCCTTGGGAGCCTCACAATTCAGCTGTAACCCTACTTGACCATGAAAGAGCCTGTGCTTTAAAGAGTGATCTTGTTAAAGTCACAGGGTCATAGGCATTGCCATACTGAATCAGACCAAGTGATCTATCTAGTCCAGTATCATTCCAGCGCTGGTGCACTATCTACACTTGCGCTTTACAGTACTGAAACTTGCTGCACTCCGGGGGGTGTTTTTTCACACCCCTGAACGAGAAAGTTGCAGCACTGTAAATTGCCAGTGTAGACAAGCTCTTAGATGCTTCTCACCCCAGGCTGGCTGGTTGCTCTTCAGCCAGAGTGATTTGGATGACTTGGTAAGCTGAGCACAAACAAACAATATGCATTTTGATTTGACCAAATGTAAAGTTAAACATCTAGAAACAAAGAATGTAGGCCCTAGTTACATGATGAGGGGACTCTATCCTGAGAAACAGTGACTCTGAAAATAACATTGGAGGTCATTGTGCATGATCACCTGAACGTGAGCTCTGAGTGATGCTGTGGCCAAAAGGGCTAATGTGATCCTTGAATGTATAAACAGGGGACTGTTGAAGGCTGTGTGATCATCATTTAAGGATCATTTAAGATGATCCTGTCTTGCAGCAGTTTTCTGAGAATGCTGGCTGGCCAGTCAATCATACTAACCATGGCAAAGGAGAAGGTACTTGCTTTTCCTTCAAAGAAGCTTCACACTACAGAATTTAAATTGTTAGAAGAGACATGAAGAAGCAAGTCTAAGGGGAAAAACAGTTCAAGAGAGTTGGCAGTTTTTCAGAGAGACATTATTAAGGGCACAAGAGCAAACTATCCCACTGCGTAGGAAAGTATAGCAGGAAACCACCCTGGCTTAACCAGGAGATCTTCAGTGATGTGAAACTCAAAAAAAGGTCTACAAAAAGTGGAATCTAGGTCAAATTACAAAGGATGAATATAAACAAACATCACAAGTATGTAGGGACAAAATTAGAAAGGCCAAGGCACAAAACGAGATAAACTAGTTAGAAACATAAAGGGTAACAATAAAATATTCTACAAATACATTAGAAGCAAGAGGAAGTCCAAGGACAAGGTAGGCCCATTACTCAGTGAGGACGAAAAAATAATAAAGTGTGGAAATGGCAGAAGTGCTAAATGACTCTTTTGTTTGTTTTCACTGAAAAGGTTAGTAGTAAGAATCATAGAATATCAGGGTTGGAAGGGACCTCAGGTGGTCATCTATTCCAACCCCCTGCTCAAAGCAGGACCAATCCCCAGACAGATTTTTGCACCAGATCCCTAAATGGCCCCCTCAAGGATTGAACTCACAACCCTGGGTTTAGCAGGCCAATGTGATTAGACATCTAACATAATGAATGACAGTGAAAATGAGGTAGGATCAGAGACTAAAATATGGAAAGAACAAATTAAAAATTACTTAGCCAAATTAGATGTCTTCAAGTCACCAGGGCCTGATTAAATACATCCTAGAATATTCAAGGAGCTGACTGAGGAGATATGAGCCATTAGTGATTATCTTCGAAAAGTCATGGAAGACAGGAGAGATTCCAGAGGACTGGAAAAAAGCAAATATACTGCCAATATATAAAAAGGGGATAAGGACAATCTGGGGAATTACAGACCAATCAGCTTAATTTCAATACCTGGAAAGAAAATGGAGCACATTATTAAGCAATCAATTTGCAAACACCTAGAAGAAAATAAGGTGATAAGTAACAGTCAGCATGGATCTGTGAAGAACAAATCACGTCAAAGCAACCGGATAACTTTCGTTGACAGGGTGACAAGCCTGGTGAATAGAGAGAGATGTGGTGTATCTTGACTTTAGTAAGGCTTTTGGTACTGTCTCGCATGACGTTCTCATAAACTAACTAGGGAAATACAACCTAGATGGAACTATTAGACGATGGATGCATAACTGGTTGGAAAACCATTCCCAGAGAGTAGTTATCAGTGGTTCACAGTCAGTCTGGAAGGGCATAATAAGTGGGGTCTTTCAGGGATCAGTTCTGGGTCCAGTTCTGTTCAATATCTTCATCAATTATTTAGATAATGGCATAGAGAATACACTTACAAAGTTTGTGGATGATACCAAGCTGGGTGGGGTTGCAAGTGATTTGCAGGATAGGATTAAAATTCAAAATGATCTGGACAAACTGGAGAAATGGTCTGAAGCAAATAGGATGAAATTCAATAAGGAAAAATACAAAGTGCTCCGTTTAGGAAGGAACAATCAGTTGCACACGTAAAATTAGGAATTGACTGCCTAGCAAGGGTCATAGCGGATCACAAGCTAAATATGAGTCAACAGTGTAACACTTGCACACACAAAAAAAAGCAAACATCATTCTGGGATGTATTAGCAGGAGTGTTATAAGCAAGACAAGAGAAGTAATTCTTCTGTTCTACTCCACACTGATTAGGCCTCAACTGGAGTATTTTGTCCAGTTCTGGGTGTCACATTTCAGGAAATATGTGGACAAATTGGAGAAAGTTCAGAATAGAGTAATAAAAATGATTGAAGGTCTAGAAAACCTGACCAGTGAGGGAAGATTGAAAAAATTGGGTTTGTTTAGTGTGAAGAAGAGAAGACAGAGGGGCCATGATAACAATTTTCAAGAACATAAAAAGTTGTTACAAGGAGGAGGGAGAAAAAAAATTCTGCTAACTTCTAAGGATAGGACAAGAAGCAATGGGCTTAAATTGCAGCAAGGGTGGTTTATGTTGGACATTAGGAAAAACTTCCTAACTGTCAGCATAGTTAAGCACTGGAATAAGTTGCCTAGGGAGGTTGGGGAAACTCCATCACTGGAGCTTTTTAAGAGCAGGTTAGACAAACACCTGTCAGGGATGGTCTAGATAATACTTAATCCTGCCATGAGTACAGGGACTGGACTAGATGAGCTCTCCAGGTCCCTTCTAGTCCTAGGATTCTGTGATTCAGGTAGATGGGAGGGATAGCCCAGTGGTTTGAGCATTGGCCTGCTAAACACAGGGTTGTGAGTTCAATCCTTGAGGGGGCCACTTAGGGATCTGGGGCAAAAATCAGTACTTGGTCCTGCTAGTGAAGGCAGGGGGCTGGACTCAATGACCTTTTGAGGTCCCTTCCAGCTCTATGAGATATACCTATCTCCATATATTTAAGCTTACAAGAAGTGGAAGATTGGACAAATGACCAGGGAGTATAAAAATATAGCTCAGGCATGCAGGAGTGAAATCAGGAAGGCCAAATCACACTTGGAGTTGCAGCTAGCAAGGGATGTTAAAAGTAACAAGAAGGGTTTCTTCAGGTATGTTAGCAACAAGAAGAAAGTCAAGGAAAGTGTGGGCCCCTTACTGAATGAGGGAGGCAACCTAGTGACAGAGGATGTGGGAAAAGCTAATGTACTCAATGGTTTTTTTGCCTCTGTCTTCATGAACAAGGTCAGCTCCTAGACTGCTGCACTGGGCAGCACAGTATGGGGAGGAGGTGACTAGCCCTCTGTGGAGAAAGAAGTGGTTCGGGACTATTTAGAAAAACTGGACGAGCACAAGTCCATGGGGCCGGATGCGCTGCATCCGAAGGTGCTAAAGGAGTTGGCGGATGTGATTGCAGAGCCATTGGCCAATATCTTTGAAAACTTATGGCGATCAGGGGAGGTCCCGGATGACTGGAAAAAGGCTAATGTAGTTCCCATCTTTAAAAAAGGGAAGAAGGAGGATCCGGGGAACTACAGGCCAGTCAGCCTCACCTCAGTCCCTGGAAAAATCATGGAGCAGGTCCTCAAGGAATCAATTCTGAAGCACTTAGAGGAGAAGAAAGTGATCAGGAACAGTCAGCATGGATTCACCAAGGGCAAGTCATGCCTGACTAACCTAATTGCCTTCTATGAGGAGATAACTGGGTCTGTGGATGAGGGGAAAGCAGTGGATGTGTTATTCCTTGACTTTAGCAAAGCTTTTGATATAGTCTCCCACAGTATTCTTGCCAACAAGTTAAAGAAGTATGGTCTGAATGAATGGACTATAAGGTGGATAGAAAGCTGGCTAGATTGTCAGGCTCAATGGGTAGTGATCAATGGCTCCATGTCTAGTTGGCAGCCGGTTTCAAGCAGAGTGCCCCAAGGGTCGGTCCTGGGGCCGGTTTTGTTCAATATCTTCATTAATTATCTGGAGAATGGCGTGGACTGCACTCTCAGCAAGTTTGCAGATGACACTAACCTGGGAGGAGTGGTAGATACGCTGGAGGGTAGGGATAGGATACAGAGGGACCTAGACAAATTAGAGGATTAGGCCAAAAGAAATCTGATGAGGTTCAACAGGGACAAGTGCAGAGTCCTGCACTTAGGAAGGAAGAATCCCATTCACTGTTACAGACTAGGGACTGAATGACTAGGAAGCAGTTCTGCAGAAAAGGACGTAGGGGTTACAGTGGACGAGAAGCTGGATGAGTCAACAGTGTGCCCTTGTTGCCAAGAAGGCTAACGGCATTTTGGGTTGTATAAGTAGGGGCATTGTCAGCAGATCGAGGGATGTGATCATTCCCCTCTATTCGACATTGGTGAGGCCTCATCTGGAGTACTGTGTCCAGTTTTGGGCCCCACACTACAAGAAGGAGGTGGAAAAATTGTAAAGAGTCCAGCGGAGGGCAACAAAAATGATTAGGGGGCTGGAGCACATAACTTATGAGGTGAGGCTGAGGGAACTGGGATTGTTTAGTCTGCAGAAGAGAAGAATGAGGGGGGATTTGATAGCTGCTTTCAACTACCTGAAAGGGGGTTCCAAAGAGGATGGATCTAGACTGTTCTCAGTGGTAGCAGATGACAGAACAAGAAGTAATGGTTTCAAGTTGCAGTGGGGGAGGTTTAGGTTGGATATTAGGAAAAACTTTTTCACTAGGAGGGTGGTGAAGCACTGGAATGGGTTACCTAGGGAGGTGGTGGAATCTCCTTCCTTAGAGGTTTTTATGGTCAGGCTTGACAAAGCCCTGGCTGGGATGATTTAGTTGAGAATTGGTCCTGCTTTGAGCAGGGGGTTGGACTAGATGACCTCCTGAGGTCCCTTCCAACCCTGATATTCTATGATTCTATGTAAGGAAGTTACATAGGTGCTGACTCCGGGGTGCTTCAGGGCTCCACGGGAAAAAAATGGTGCATGCTCAACCCCCACCAGGAGCCCCACTATCAATGCCTCTCCAGTCAACATACAATGACTGGAAGATGAAGCTAGACAAATTCAGACTGGAAATAAGTTACAACTTTTTAACAGAAAGGATAATTAACCATTTGAACAACTTACCAAGGGTCGTGGTGGAGTCTTCATCACTGGCAATTTTTAAATCAAGATTGGATGTTTTTCTAAGTGATATGCTCTAGTTCAACCAGGAATTAATTCAGGAAGTCTTATTCAGCCTGTGATATACAGGTCGTCAGACTAGATGATCACAACGGTCCTTTTCTGGCCTTATAATCTATTAAGCAATTCCTGCCTTTTCAGTCTCTTTTCATATGAAAGTCTGTCCAGGCCCCAAACATTCTTGTCACCCATTTTTGACACACCCCACTCCCATATATTTCTGCAATAGCCATTTTGAGATGGGGTGGCCATTACTGTGCACAGTATTCTAGTGGAGGCAGTCCATTGATTTATATAATGGCATTATAATATTTTCCATATTATTCTCTATTCCATTCCTAATTTGTTAGTTTTTTTAACCGCAGCTGTACATTGACCAGAGGTCTTCAGTGAGCTGTCTACAATGATTCCCATGTTCTTTTCCTTAGCTGACACCCCCAGTATGGTGTCTGAATAGTTCCAATTAGTCTCTCCCACATTTAGAACTTTGCATTTGTCAATGGCATATTTTACATAGCCACATTCACCGCTGCTTAAGTGTGTGCACGTCTCCTTAGAAGTCAATGGACTTTGGCTGCTTATTACTTGGGCTGCACAATAATCATACTTAGTATTTATGTAGCATTTTTCATCAATACATGTCAGAGCACTTTAAAAAGGAGGGTAAATATCATTATCCTAATTTTACAAATAGGGAAAGTGAGGCACAGATAGGGGAGGCCTCAGAACAAGTCAGTGGCAGACCCTGGCTGCTCTATGTGTTTATTCTTTGATGATCTGACCTCATGCATGTCTTACTGCCCTTTCTGTTCACCCACACACAACAAATATTTTGTGCTCTAGCAATGAGTTGTGAATAAAGGGCTGAGTAACATTGTTTATCCAAAATGTTACTAGTGATTTTTTGTCTTTTCACCAGTTCTGCAAAGATGTGAAGGTTTCTGGAATTTTGTGGTGTTAGTTCATAGCTTTTGTTGTCTGTGTCAAAAATCATTTTTCACCCAGGGGATAAATGAAAGAACATTCACAGAAGAAGATACAGAAATTTACATTTTAAGTTCTAGCTGAGATCAAATTCTTCCCCTCACTGATATTTTTCAAAAGTAGAGTGATGGAAGGCTGACTAGTGGTGTTATTTGTCATCACTGTGAGCCTATAGAAAGCTGCAAAATGTTTAGAGCTTTTCCTCCAAATCTGTAAAAGTTAACATATAAGCAATGTGCTTTTTAAAGCAGCTTCATCACATAGCTTAGGACCCAAATGGAGGATTTTGCAAAATTAAAGTGGGGGAAAAGGTGGGGGGTAATTCCTAAAAACTAAAATTTACAGAAATATTTTCGTGGCATTTGAAAAAGCAATTCAGACCCATCTCTATATTAAGGCAGCAGTAAAGGCATCTATATAAAGGAAAGGCTCCACATGAATGTCAGATTGTTAGTGTAAAACAGCTAATTAAGAATTACATTTATAATGAAAGGAGGAAAAATGACATTCCATGTTTCATAACCTGGAATTGTTGGTGCAGTCTCCTTCATCTAGGATGAGTTAGGAATTTAGCAGCAAATGAGATATAATTGATCTGCCATATGAATCAGGTTTTCATGAAACAATAAGAACACTCAGGAAAAGGCATAATTCTTTTTTTCTTCCCAACAAGCTGATGACAACAGCAACATGTACTATGCTGTGGCATTAGTGAAACGGAACAATTCCAATGCTTTCACCATCAATGATCTGAAAGGGAAAAAGTCCTGCCACACAGGATATGGGAGAATGGCTGGATGGAACATCCCTATTGGTGTTCTAATTAAAAGGGGCTTTATTAGGCCCATGGACTGCAATATTCCTCAAGGTAAGGGTTCCACACATCAGAAGATGCAGTGACAGTTTGGTTGTGCCTTTTTTATTCAGGGAAGAAAAGTCCCAAGAGAAGTTTCGTAGCTCTGTGTTATACTAGTGTGTTTCATATTGGTATTAAATGCTTATCTTGATGCCTGAGGATTAGGTCTGTTATGCCTGGGAAGGCTCATGGGAGTGATGCATGTAAACCTCTGTGCATCACATTGAGAAATTCCTCTTGTAGAATAGAAAACCCCCTTTTTTCCCCCCATTTCATCTTATGGTTAACTCACCACAAAACAATATGGGTCCAGTCCTTCAGCCCCTCCTCGCCTGCAAGCAGTCCTTACAGAAGCAGTTGTAACACTGACAGACCTCAGTCATCAGCAGGTGGGATTGAACCTGGGGCCTCTGGACCTTAGTGCATGAGCCTCTCCTGCATGAGCTAAATGCCATATAGCTGTTAGCTAAGGCTGTAGAACCAGGGCCGGCTCCAGGCACCAAGCACCCAAGCTGGTGCTTGGGGCGGCACCTGGAGGGGGGTGGCGCGGCGCTCCGGCCGCCGGGGAGAGCGGGGCCACAGCCGGGCTTGCCACCCTCCACCCGGCGCTCTGGCTGCCCTCCCCCCCGCGCCCTCCCCCCGGCCGCCGCTCTAGCCCTGCGCTCTAGCCGCCGAGGGGAGAGCCGAGCCCCAGCCGGGGCTCGCCGCCCTGCCCCCGGCGCTCTGGCCGCGGGGGGGGGCAGCCGGAGGCTTTTTTGCCTTGGGCGGCAAAAAAGCCAGAGCCGGCCCTGTGTAGAACAGACTCATTAATCTCCCTCTCTAAGTGGTCTTAGTACCACTAAATGGGTTTTCACAAAACAATAAGGACACCCAGGAAAAGGCATAATTCTTTTTTTCTTCCCAACAAGCTGACGACAACAGCAACATGTACTATGCTTTGGCATTAGTGAAACGGAACACTTCCCATGCTTTCACTATCAATGATCTGAAAGGGTGTGGGTTATACAGTGTCAGGAGGTGTGTGTGGGTTACACAGTGTCATAAACGCTCTATATCTAAGGTCTTGGCTACACTTGAGAGTTACAGTGCAATAAAGCCACCCACAGCACTGTAACTCACTCTCCATCCACACTGGCAAGGCAAGTACAGCGCTGTATCTCCGTGGCTACAGCACTGCTTGTACTCCACCTCAGTGTGCACCTCTGGGGATAATTGCTGTCAATGGGGCTGCTTGTGTAAGTAAGGCTTGCAGGATTAGGCTCTTTGTTATACTTTTTATGGACGTCCCGAATGAAGAAGAAACATGGAGCCAAATTCTGTGCAACCCCACTGAAGACAATATGATCAGACAGGATTTACTGGAAGTTGGTGGAGAATTTGGCTCACAGTTCTGGTGTATTTTCCAACCTATGTGCACTGATCTGCAAGAACAGACTTCTGGGCTAAATATTTGAAAAGTTATGGCTTAATTGGGTGTACAGATTGTGCATGGGCCAAATCCTGAAAACTTTCTATTTCATCAAGACCTTATTGGAGTAAAGATTAAACAAGGTCTGCAGGCTTTCGGCCTAGAATGAGTAGTTCTCGAAGTAGAGTTTTACCCCTGCAGTTGCATTTTAAAATCAATAATGTGTGTGCAAATGAATGAACAAAGAAGTGGGCAGGCCTGGTATTGTAGGTAGCCTTCTTTAAATGTGCAAGTGTATTTTCTACACAGAGAGCACATTTTTGCACTGAATTAATTGATTTGCATGTTTTAACAAACTGGACATGCAAAATCTTAAACCAACTTTCAGAAATGCAGCTGAAGTACCTATTGTAATCAAAGCAGTTTGTACCCCTGTTAACCAACTATAAGCCTAACATGTGCTCTTGGAGAATCTGACCCAATCTGTCCTTTGGCCTATCTTGCCAACTAACAATCTAGACTGCATTTTGAAGATGTTTTGAAAGATATAATTAGTCATTTCCAGTAAACCTAATATAATGTGCATGTTGCTGGCTTTTTAGTGAAACCTGCATTGTCATGTAATTAAATGATATTGTAATCTAGGTGTTTTGTGAATGGCTGACACTCACTTCTCCATGCTTTTTAAGGTCAGGTATGACAAAGCCTTGGCTGGGATGATTTAGTTGGAGATTAGTCCAACCCCCTGCTCAAAGCAGGACCAGATGATCTCCTGAGGTCCCTTCCAACCCTGATATTCTATGATCTCTCTCTTTCCAGCTGTGAGTGACTTTTTCTCCGCTAGCTGTGTGCCTGCAGCCAAGATGGACAATTACCCATCAAAACTCTGTGAGCTTTGCATTGGCGATAATAGTGGAAACAATAAATGCTATGCAAGTACCCAGGAACGTTATTATAGCTACAGTGGAGCCTTCAGGTAATGAACAAACAATCATTGTGCAACATGGATGCTTATTTTGCAAAAGATGAGGAGGCATTATTGTACTCAATGTAATTGTAGCCATGTTGGTTCCAGGATATTAGAGAGACAAGGTGGGGGAGGTCAAGTAAAAGATATTACCTCACTCACCTTGTCTCTCTAATAAGTTTAACATGGCACTTGTCCCGCAAATCTCTCCCAGAAGTCCAGCAATAAAAATGCACCAAAAAGCTTTCACTTCATGTCACCCATGTCTCTGTTGACACACCACCTCTTTGGTACATTAAGCATCTCTCTTTGTGTGCATCCATCACAGCCCTGGATAGTACATCTTGCTGCAAGAAATTGCTTCTGTCCATGCCTTGATTGAGATGGTGGGGATTGGACTCCTGGAAAACTGTTAGATCCTAGACCACGAGTCTGGGAATACCATCTCCCCACCCAAATCCTCTCTCTCAGGAGTTAATCCCAGGACAAAACACTGCTCTCAACAATAAAACAACTCTTATCTAAGCAGGGCAATGGTGGTGGAATGCGGGACTTACCCTTGCGGCACCTCCTGCTGGTCTCTTCCAGGCATTAGCTCTGCATGCCTTGGAGCACCCTCTGCAGGCCGGTGTCCCGCTGCCGCTTGGCCCCCGTGTAGCCCCCCGGACTCTGGTTGACCCTTTCACTGGGTGCTGCCCCCTGGCCGTACACCCCTCAATCTCAGGGTCTCCCCTCCCCAGGGAACCCCCACCCCCTATCCCCACCTCACCTCAGTTGTAGGCTACTGCCAGTCACCAACTAGCCCCCATTCCGTGGGGCAGACTGCAGTATAAGCCACTCCTCACTGGCAAGGAGGGTTTGGGCCTGCTGCCTTCTTCTGCCCTTGGGCTGCCCCCTGCAACACCAATACCTATTCGGCCTTATACTAGGCCTGCAGCCTTGGGGGTTTCCAGGCTGGAGCTCCCCAGCTCCTCTAGCCTTCCCCCAGCCCTGCCTCACTTTAGGCACCCTGAGCTTCCCAGCAGCCAGGCCCCTCTCTCTCTCTGAAGGCAGAGAGAGACTGTTTGGGCTTCTGGCTCGCAGCCTCTTATAAGGACCAGCTGGGCCCGATTGGGGCGTGGCCCCAGCTGCTACTGCCTTCCCCAATCAGCCCAGGCTTTCCTTCACAGCCTCAGCCTTCTCCCAGGGCTGGCTTTAACCCTTCCAGGGCTGGAGCGGGTGACCACCCCACTACAAATGATATATAGCCAATTTGGGACTGCTAGTAGCAAATATCCCCAGTAGCCAGTGATGGGATACTAAATGGAAAGGGCTCTGAGTTACTACAGAGAATTCTTTCCTGGTGTCAGAGTAGCAGCCGTGTTAGTCTGTATCCGCAAAAAGAACAGGAGTACTTGTGGCACCTGAGAGACTTACAAATTTATTTGAGCATAAGCTTTCATGGGCTACAGATTGAATCTATTTCCCCATGTTAAGTATCCCCACACCTTCTTGTCAACTGTCTAAAATGGGCCATCTTGATTATCACTACAAAAGTTTTTTTTTCTCCTGCTGATAATAGCTCATCTTAATTAATTAGCTTCTTACAGTTGGTATGGCTACTTCCACCTTTTCATGTTCTCTATATGTGTATATCTATCTCCTTACTATATGTTCCATTCTGTAGCCCATGAAAGCTTATGCTCAAATAAATTTGTTAGTCTCTAAGGTGCCACAAGTACTCCTGTTCTTTCCTGGTGTGTGGCTTTTGGGTGCTGCTCAAATGCTCAGGGTCCAACTGATCACTATATTTGGGGTTGGGAAGGAATTTTTTACCAGGTCAGATTGGCAGAGACACGGAGGTTTTTCGCCTTACTCTGCAGCATGGGGACAGGTCACTTGCAGGTTTAAACTAGTGTAAATGGTGGATTCTCTGTAACTTGAAGTCTTTAAATCATTATTTGAGCACTTCAATAACTCAGCCAGATATTATTGGTCTATTACAGGAGAGGGTGGGTGAGGTTCTGTGGCCTTTGCAGTGCAGGTTAGACTAGATGATCATGATGGTCCCTTCTGGCCTTAAAGTCTGAGTCTATGAGTAGCTGCCTTAAAACAGGATTTATTACAAATAAAGAGAATTAAAATAAATGGTTTGCATAACATACCTCATTTGGATACTCAGCCTGAGCCCAGAGAGGTTTTTTCCCCTAGCTTAGCTAGAGAAGAAAGAATGCTCTTACATGTCTTGTAAACGGTTCGTGCCGGGGCTCGACCCTCCTGGGCAGGAGGGGAGCCACACCGACTCACTACTGGTGGAACAAACAACCAGTTAGTTCAGGACTCAGGCCCTCTGGTGCAGGGGCTGAGCAACCAACAGTTAAGGAGCCCAGGCCCTCTGGTGCAGGGGCTGGGCAGGCAAGCAGTTCAGGAGCCCAGGCCCTTTGTTGCGGGGGCTGAGCAAACAATCAGGTAGGGAAGGCCCAGGCCCTGGATCAGGGCGGGGCACACACAGTCACAGCTCAGGCCCTTGGATGCAGGGGCTGAGCGGATACACAGTTAGGGAGCTCAGGCCCCCTTGTGCAGGGGCTGAGCAACACTCACTTGGGGTAAGCCCTGGCGACACCAGAGCGTTGGGTGAGGGGGAAGCCTGCCACCCGTGAGCGGGGGTGGCAGGGGGGAACGCAGGCCCACCCACTCCACTGCATTCCAGCCCGGGACCCTAGCAGCGGTTACTGCCGCTCAGTGGGGTATCCTGACCGAAACACACTGACATTGGCTCACATGCGTGTGCAGCCTGACCAGGGTCGGCTACCCCCGGGCTACTTCCAGGATCCCCCTCAGGGCCTACCTCATCCGTGGCACCGGGCCCGGTCCAGTCCACCAGCATGGGCTCCTCTCGGCCAGGGCTTGGTGGCAGGTCCGGCAGCTCCGTGGGGAAATCCGGCCAATTGCACTCGGGCGGCTCCTCCGGGTAACAGCAGGGGCGGAGGGGTTCTGGTGCGGCCTCGCCTTCGGGTTGGGTGTGGGGGAGTTCCAAGGGCTCCTCCCAACGACGGGAGCAGACTGGCTCCGGCGGCTCCTCCTCGTAGTGGGCTCGGGGCAACTCCGGCCAGCTGGGGCAACGGCCTTGGGCCTCAGAGGTACCCCGGCTGGGAGCTCCCTGCCGCACGTCTGCTCCCTGCGGTGGCCGGGGCCTGACTGAGCTCCGGCGGCCGGCCTTTATACTTCCTGTCCCGCCCTTTGACTTCCGGGGGGCGGGAACAGGCGGCGGTGGCTCCGCCCACTCGGGTGCCTGCAAGGGTGCTCCCTCTTCTGGGCAGGAGAGGAGCCCCACCGACTCACTACATGTCTAAAGAGCAACCCCCTTCTCTGACCTCTGCTGTTCAATGTATCAGTCTCATGCTCCTGTGTCCAGAGCGATAGCTGTTTCCCATTTCTTCACCCTAGATCCTTTATAAACCTCGCCCACCCCACCCCGGCTCTAACCCTATTTTCCCAAAACACTTTTCTTAAGATAAATACACATACAGTAGGGTTGGCAAGCACTTGCTTTCCCACCTTCCAGGAGATAATAGCTGCCTTTCAAATGCCTAACTATTGAACTCAAGCACAGCCTTTTACAAATCATTTTGTCCGGCTGTATCCAGCTTATCCAGACTTCTTTGCTTTTTAACCACCTAAGCAATTTTCCCTTGCCATGGAATGTAGATTAGTGGCAGACCCCAGACCTTCTGTCACACTTCATAGCTTCAGGTAATCATTTAGCAATCAACAAACTGATAAGCAACAAATGTCATTGTGGCTGAGCTGTGTCATTTGTTCTAAGATAATGTACCACCATGAAGGTGTCTCAAGTCTAGAGATGGATTAAGGTCTCCTGGGACCCTGGGCCAGAGCGGGGGGGGCAGGGCTGGCACTAGAACCGTGGCCCCATCCCAGCCCTTCCACGTGTGGCCCTACCCATGGCCCCACCCCATTCTTCTCCTTCTTCTGTGGCCCCACCCCCATTCCACCCTTGGCCCCACTCCGTCCACTTGTGGCCCCACCCCATTCCACTCCCTCTGCCTGAGGCCCTGCCCATGGCCCCAACCCATTCCGCTTCTGCCCCGCCACTCTCTCCTTTCCAGTGCACACCATCCCCCACTGAGGCCCCAAACCTGGGAAGCTCTGTCACCCCGAGAGCTCCTCCAGCTCTGGGGCTGAGATGAAGGGAGATTTTTGCCAGGAGCCCCAAATTAGCTGGGGCCCTTGGGCATGGCCCCTGTGGCTTGTGTGGTAATCCGCCACTGCTCAAGTCTTATGTGGGGATCACAACGTTTTTTTATGAGGAGGAATTTCAAGAAGTGAATATGTTTAGCCTAAGAGTTATGGGAAAGACTTGAATACAGGGTATAGGTATTTAAAAGGTTCATGCTACAACATTTAGGGGAAATTCAAGGTCATGATCTGATAGTAGTAAAGGCTGTACCTGGGATTTATATTATGGGGAACATTTTCTCTAAGAGAATCATGAGAATTTGGGCTAGACAGACTTCAGGAAGAGTGACTGGAAAAAGTGGGGAAATTGAACGGAATAGCTATTGTGGAATAAGCTTATTCCGCAATAGCCATTCAGATCAATTTCCCCATGTAAGCAAACCCAAATAGAAATAGTTGGACACATCAAGTATACCTGCTGAATATCAGGTCTTTACAGAAATGGATAAGGAAATAGGAAAAGAATGGTCATTACTAGTCACTTTAAGTCACTTAGAAGCAGTGACTCTGAAAAAGATTTGGGGGTCCAGTTAGATAATCAATTGAACATGAGCTCTCAGTGCAGTGCTGTGGCCAAAAACGAGAATGCAATCCTTGGATGCATAAACAGGGGAATCATGATTAGGAGTAGAGAGGTTATTTTACCTCTCTGTCTGGCACTGGTGCAAGCACTGCTGTAATACTATGTCCAGTTCTGGTGTCCACAGTTCAAGAAGGATGTTGATAAATTGGAGAGGTTTCACAGAACATGGGTTTACCAAAGATGCATCATGCCAGGCTAACCTGATTTTCTTCATTGAGAAAATAATTCCTTTTTTTAGATAAGGGAAATACAGTAGATCTAATATACTTGGACTTCAGTGAATTATTAGAAACTTTGCTGTGCGGAAAATTATTAGTTACATTAAAGAAGATGGGGATTAGTAGAAGAATTGTAAGGTGGATAAAGAACTAGCTAAAGGGGAAAAGTGGAAAAATTCATATCCCAAGAGATGATGCATATCGAGCCAAAGGCTCTAGGTGTAATAAATGCACAAAGTATGGACATTTTGTGTCTGTTTGTCTCACCAAAGCAGTTAGGGAGTTGACTCATATTACAGGCAATCAAGAGCCACTGTTTCTGGGATCTATCAGGTGTGATGACACAGAACCTGCTTGGAGAGTGAAACTTGCCTATTCGTGGAAAGACTATTGACTTTAAAAGTGATTCAGGAGCAGACCTCACAGTCGACTGAGACAGGATTTATAATAACCTTCAACCCCTTCCAGAGCTGAAGTCACCTGACACAACTCTGACTAGCTCTGGAAGTAGGGTGACCAGAGAGCAAGTGTGAAAAATCAGGACGGGGGTGGGGAGTAATTGGCACCTATATAAGAAAAAGCCCCAAATATCAGGACTGTCCCTATAAAATCGGGACATATGGTCACCCTACCTGGAAGTATTCTGAGCTGCATGGGTCAGTTCACTATGGAAATAACTTACAAAGACAAAAGCTATGCGTTCAGAGTACATATTATCAAAGATCAACAACTTGCTTAGATGCAGAATGGTAGCCATGATGGGCCTAATGAGCATTGTGGAAGAATTCGATGGAGTATTTGAGGATATTGGACTTTGGAAAGGAGATCCAGTACAAATCAACTTGAGAAAATACTGAACGATACAATGTACAACTACCTGAAAGGGGGTTCCAAAGAGGATGGATCTAGACTGTTCTCTGTGGTACCAGATGACAGAACAAGGAGTAATGGTCTCAAGTTGCAGTGGGGGAGGTTTAGGTTGGATATTAGGAAAAACTTTTTCACTCAGAGGGTGGTGAAGCACTGGAATGGGTTACCTAGGGAGGTGGTGGAATCTCCTTCCTTAGAGATTTTTAAGGTCAGGCTTGACAAAGTCCTGGCTGGGATGATTTAGCTGGGGATTGGTCCTGCTTTGAGCAGGGGGTTGGACTAGATGACCTTCTGAGGTCCCGTCCAACCCTGATATTCCATGATTCTATGATACAAACACCTCTAACAAACAGACCTTGGAAGATACTAGCTGAAGATTTATGCAGATTCAAAGGACATCATTACCTGATCGTTGTGGACTATTTTTCCAAGTATATAGAAATAATGTACTTGAAAGACATAACATGTTACAGTGTTATAAAGAAACTGAAGTGCATTTTTGCTTGCTTAGGTATTCCATATTAACTAGTGATAGACAACAGACCACAATTCACTGCAATGGAATTTAAATCTTTCTGAACCAAATATGATTTTGATCATATTACTAGCAGCCTACATTACCTACATGTGTGTGGAGAGGCTGAGAGAGCTGTACAGACAGCCAAGAAAATCCTACAGCAGGAAGAGCCATTCCTTGCTCTTGTGAGTTATAGATCAATACCAATAGCAGCTACTGGATATGATTATTGATAAAATGTATAGTCAATTGCTTGACCGCACTTTGTTTCATCATGAAATAGTGTCAGGAGATCAAAATAACCAATGTCAGACAAATGTATTGGTATGAGCTTATAATAATATAGTACAGGAAAAAAGCTCTATACAATACCAGTCTCCAGGAAACCATCTCATGTAGTGTTGTTACATTCACCTTATGCAAAAGGTGTGCTCCCAAAGTTACACATTTCAGCTGATTGTATTTGTATGATAATTTTACAAATTACATATTTCTTTACATGTCACGAAAATTCAACTAATCAATTTGTTCTAGTTCCTTAACATGTCCTGTTCCTGTCCTTATCTTTGTTTTGGATACTAGCACTCCAGGTACTGGTCCATGAAGGTATTTTCTAGGTTTGTACCAGGGTAGAACAACCATTATGTCTTGTCCTCTTCCTTTGGGATATTCCAGTACTGGCCTGAGAGACTAACTCCCTACCTTTTGCTATGGTAAAATACCTCATATGTCCTGATCTTGACAGCTTTCCTATCTACTTATGCCAAAGCTTATTTCAGCTAATGCAAGGTGTTATGGGCTATTTAGTATGAGTGAATAGGGTTATAGTAAAGGTATAGGCCAATTTAGGCTATAGAACTGCTATAATATTTGTGCTTAAAGCTGTTTGTGCTTAATACATACAAGCAGTGGTGTAGCCAGGTGGAGGGAACAGGGGGAGCGGAAAAAAAAGGGCGCCACCCGCAACGGCGCTTTTACTGACGGGGCAGTGCTCTGGGTCTTCGGCGGCACCTCGGCGGCGGGACCTTCACTCGCTCCACGGGTCTTCGGCAGCATTTTGGTGATGAAGCTTCAGTGCCGCCAAAGACACTCGGAGCTAGTGAAGGGCCCACCGCCGAAGAACCGGAGCGCCGCCCCGTCAGTAGAAGCGCCGCAGCGGGTGGTGACTTTTTTTTTCCTGCTCCCGGGTGAGTAAAATTAAAAAGGCGCCACTTGTGCTCAGTGTGGGAGCGGCCACTGCCCCGCTCTCCCCCTAGCTACGCTACAGCATAGATGGTCTGGATAATACATATTAATATGAGCTAGATAGATATAAATATTGATTGTTATATATAGAGATAGATATATGCTAACCGGCATATATTGGTCAACGTAGACTAGCACAGCTCCTGAGGGTAAGACAGTTCAGAAGTACAAAAGAATTATTTGCAAAAGAATCTATCACCAAAGTGGACAGATATGAAGAAAGTAGCCATATTGGATGAAAAGGCAAAAAGAGCTTACGAACGCTTTTACAACAGCTGACACTCAGTTAGAAAATTGCAGTGTCTAGAACCTGGTGACTCCATTTGTATCAAATTGGATGAAGAAAAAGTTTGGCCACTTCCAGCTGCATGGGCAGCACGAATAAGAGGCTGGAAGGTTTAGCCTCCCCAAAAAAGGCTGGCCATGCAAGGAGCAAGAAATCCCAGATGTAGCACAGGTCACCTCCCTTTGGAGGCGTGCCATCCCGCTGCCTTTGGAGCACTGCCACCGGAAGCGCCCTAGAAGTAGGAGGGGCACCGGTTCCTGGACTGTGTCCCCACCTGTGCTCCACCCCTGCTCCTCCCCAAGGCCCTGCTGCTGCTCAGCCTCTTCCCGTGAAGCCCCACCCCCACACCGCCTCTTCCCCCATAAAGCCCCCTCCTTCGTTCTGCCTCTTCCCTCCACCACTCTGCCTCTTCCCCCGAGACTCTCCCACCTGCCACTTGTTCCTCTCCACCCCCTTTCCCCGTTGCTTGTCCTTAAGGCAGGAAAAAGGTGGGAGGGCATAGCCTTCCCACTTTTAAAAGTGATGGGCTATGCCCTCCCACTTTTTTCCTGCCTTAAGGGCGAACGATGGGGGGACGGGGAAGGGATGCAGAGGAGTGAGCGGTGGGCGGGGAACCTTGGGGGAACAGGTGGAGTGGGGGGGTGGGAAGAGGTGGCGCGAGGACAGGGCCTCGGGGGAACAGGCAGGGTGGAAAGAGGTGGCGTGGGGGAAGGCCTTGGGGGAACAGGCCAAGCAGGGGCAGGGTCTCGGGGCAGAGGGAGCTGCCATCGCTCACGTAAGCCTCTCCAAATGAAAGAGTCACACACTACCTATGTCCAGCTGTCATAAAGAAAAAGAATTCAGCACCTAGGCCATATGTGATCGAGACCAACATTGGAAAGTTCAATAGAAACCATCAACATCTACAGTTTGCTCTTCAGAAAATACAGTCAACAGAGCAAACTCTACTGATGGGATGCAGAGCAAGAAGATGATGACTCAAGACTTCCAAACCACCAACAACTAGATGACAAAGTTGTTATGTGTTTGGGTTGTGTAGTTAGAAAACCAGTATGATTCAGAGACATGTTACAGACTGAACTTCAAAGACAGCGTGCTAGTGTAAATTTGGAAATGATAAGAGAAGTTAAAGGAGGCGATGAAATGGACTGCTAAACTGTATTCTACTATTCAACCAATAGGTGGTGCTATGTGTAACATTTTATTTAAGTGACCCTTAGTCATACTTGGCAAAACATTAAGGGATTTTATAGTGAACACATCTGGTGTGTATCCCGCTGAGGAGGAAGCTCTTGTCTCAGTCCATAACTGATACAGCAGCCTGACCTGCTAATAGAAGCCCTGCAACCTACCATGTACAAGAAACACATAAGTAGTGAAGTCAGTAAGGTCACTTTTATGAGTAATATATGCTAGCTCAGATCCTAATCTTTTGAAGTATTTTGGTAGACAGTTTTTATGAAAGATACTATACAAACAAAAGATGCATTCATTACATTGCACTGTATTGAGTTTGTATGTCATTGCATTGTATTGCATTGAATTTTATCTGTCTTATTTATTTTAAGGTGTCTGATGGAGGATTCTGGTGATGTGGCCTTTGTCAAGCACTCAACAGTTTTTGAGAACACTGATGGTATTTAATTTTAAATATGTTTTTATTACAACTCATTATTTTTGGAGTCCTCTTTATTCTGAAGCATTCAGTGAGTCACAATGGCGAGTTTCCTTTTTCAGGTAACAATGCTGATTCCTGGGCTCTTCACCTGCAGTCCAGTGACTTCCAGTTACTGTGTCCAAATGGAGCCCGTGCTGAAATCACTCAGTTTGCTCAGTGTCACTTGGCTCAGGTGCCTGCCCAGGTTGTCATGGTCCACCCAGACACCAACATTTTTGCTGTATATGGACTACTGGACAAAGCTCAGGTATAATTTACAATTAGTTCACCTGATGAGGTGGCCATTCTCAGATCATTATGAGCAGGGGTATCCAAACTTGGTCCAATCACAGGCTGCAATGGCAAATTTCCAAAAGCCTAAGGAATGCTCCTAATTTCATCATTTAAAAATATAAAATAAAATGCACACAACCATAATACTTGTTTATCCTGAAGTCTTCCTAAATTCATAATAGAAATGCAACAGCTACATGAGAAAAGAGCATGTATGATAAATTATGTAATTATATAGAAGACTTTTGAAAGCATTATGCCTTCCAGGACTTAGTAGCAGACTCTCCAAAAAAAACCCCTCAAACTATTCAGTTTAGTATAGGTGGTGCAGGTACTGACATCTAAACTTAAGGTTGCCCAACACTTTCCATTATAAGACTCTGTTTTCAGTTGCTTATAACTTTACTAAACTTAAACAACTGGGACTAAAATTTTCCATGCTGGGTGTCTGCTTCAAGATGAATGTTTTGAGAAAGTTTCAGCTAAAATGGTTCAACTGTTTCTGAGCACGAGATTAGAGGAAAATACGTTGTTTTGCTCATGTTAATAAAACACCATGTTGTTGACCGCTAATGACTCCATGCTTTGGAGCAGGGACTTGAAATTTGGCAGGGGGTCACCCTATTGTCAGGGATGTGCCTTTTGCAAGCCTCCTGGAAATCTGTCCAACTATGGCTGAGTTAGAAGCTTATGAAAATTTCAGTGTGCACGTACTCTGTAGTGATCTGTTTGGCAGCTAAATTCTCTGAAGATTCTGTCTCCACTGAGCATGTGCCATCCCAGGGATGCAGTAGCTGAGCAGGGCTTTCCCTGATACTGACTACCGAGGGCTGCCGTGATGCCCCACACAGGAACTAAGAATATAGAGACGGTCTTTCCTGGACTCTCCATGCTCCCCCTTTTAGCACACTGGAAGCACAGAGGAGGAAGAAGGTTGATTTGAATTCATCATTTTTAACAATGTTGCCTTCTCCAATACTAAGATACTAGTAATGGTCCTATAATATTGTTAGGATTTCGTTTGTTCTAATATTCTTTAAAAACTCTTTGTTTTCGTTTCACTGCCCGCTATGGGTTTTTTCTGATGTTTTTAGCTTTCTTTAACAAATTTATACACTTCATAACTTCAAATTTTCTATCTATATACCTTTTTCCCCATTTGTTTTATTTTATTTTATTTTATTTTTAATTGCTGCCTTCACTTTGACACTGAACCAGGGAGCAGAATTTGGCCCTTATGTATTACATTTTAAATAGATGGATGGATGTGACAGCCAACTACAGTGGGAGTTCCAGACAGAAAAAAGGTTCAAGTTATGCCATAACGATCACAGAAAATATCTTGCTAATTGGCTTCAATATTGGGAGTCTTAGGAGACTGGCCAAGGACTGAATGGGCTTGATACTGAAGAAGCTTTTCACCCTTAACTGGAATATTCTATTGGGCTCCTTTAACTAACACAAAAGGTTACTCCAAATGGATTTTTAAAACTTATGATAATATAAAAGGCAAATAATTTGAAGTTAAAATTGTTTGTCTGTGAGCTTCTGAGCAATGGGGAGGGTTAGTTTCCACTGTGTTATGTATGCTGCTAAAGATGAATATAGCACTGGCTATGTAATACAAACTCTGATACTAATGGAAACTGCATTGCTTTCAGGATTTCTTTGGAAATGACAGCAATGGAAATGGATTCAAAATGTTTGATTCCTCAGATTTCCTAGGAACAGATTTGATCTTTAAAGATTCCACCGTTAAGATTGTACCAGTAGGAGAGAAAAGAACCTATGCAGAATGGCTGGGGAGTGAATACATAGATTCTCTTGAAGGGATGCAATCACCACAGTGCTCTGGGGCAGGTGAGCCAGCATTTTTTGATGTATGTGAGATTGATTTTTTCTATGTCTTCCTCTTTCGTATTAATTGTAAGGTGCTGTCTGATCCTTATGGACTGGACAATTCCCAGGTTCCATGACATGGCCACTGGGTTTCTGTGCTGTGGAGGAGGGACAGTTTTTGGACCTTGGGAGACAGAGCAGTCTTGGGACTCCTGGATAGTGAATCCAATCTGTCCATCTTGATGGAATGCTCCTACTTCCATTGGCTCTGTTCCGGCTTCTCCCCTTCCTCACCTCGTGTGGTTCCCAACTTCTGTCTGAAGTCAGCAAACAGCAGGGGATAAGTGTATGCTGGGAACGCAGGCTGGGGACAGAGGATAAACTGTGGAATCCAGAGTAGCTTCTTGCATCATGCAGATGCTGGTGGCTGGGAAAGGTATCCAGCGAGGCTCTTCACCAACTGGAAGGAAGCAAGGGATCCCAGCATTCACTGGGGGCTGAGAAAAACTAAGGAGATTGCAGGGGTTATGTTTTGCAGCTGGGAAGGAGAGTTCAGGAGCAGATGAGTTAAGTACATGTGTTCACTGAATTTGTTTATATTTGAATAATCAGCATATATTTGCACCTCAATGTCACCGATCTCTGCTTAGGAAAAGATGTCATTTTGCTCTGTGATATTTAAATTGGTGCGGGAATGATTTGGGTGACCATTTGGGAATGATCTGGCTCTAGAACCTTTCTGCATGGTGTGGTCAATGCCTCTGAGGAACTAAAAACTGTATTTGGAGCCGATTAAATTGATTAGCTTGCTTCTGTATAACTATTTCACAGTCAGCTAGCAGTCAGATCAGCTTCTAACCCTTAGTGCTCAATTTGTATTTTTATTCATAGCTGCAATATCCATGAACATCATTGTGCTGCCGGCGGCTAGTGGCCTTCTGATTAGATTCTACTCGTGATCATTAGGCCGTTCCTTGGATTAACAGATATTCAGCATAATAAACTGAAATACTGGTAAATAATAATACAAATAAACTGAAATAAAACTTAGAAAATGAATGAGAGACGCATGTGGAGAGCAGCAGAATTATCCAGGCTATTCCCTGATGCTCTATATATCCATAAAGGTAATGGGAGATCTGGGAGGGTGGGAAAGGGATGCAGTTTACAGCCTCATCCTTGCCGCCTTCCCTTTGCTTCCCTGCCTCTCTTACCCTGTTTTACGGATGCTGTTCCTAGCCATGGCACTTCAATGCCAAAGGAAATAGGCTCCAAATACAGTCCTGCTGTTGCATGTCCCAAAAATAAACTCTGAGGTGTCTGATACTCACAACTATGGATAATTTTTGGTTACGTTTTTTTTTTTAAAAGGTGCCCTCGGAACTTAATCCAAACTTTTTCAAGTTGTACAGTCAACATTTCCTGATAGAAGAGATTAAAGGCCTATCCCAGTGGCCTGGTAGCACTCTCCCATTTGTCCTTCTCATTGTCACAGGGGAGTCCCTGAAGTGGGCATAATTTCTGTCTATGACATTGAATCACACACACCGTTTTTGTATTGTTCTCTGAAGAACTAAATTTCAGTTGAAATACTTACCGAATAGGAGCTTTATGGATAAGCATCTTCCTTTGTAAGGTTTCCTCTTCTCTTCTCACCATCCCATTACTTACTTACTTACTTCTTGTAATGTAGTTCAGGATAAATTCAGCTTACCTACTTCTCATTTGGGGAATGTGAAGTTTCGGTTAGATTAGTGTAACCCTTCTGCCCCTCTGAGTTGGCAGCAACAAGGGCCTGGTTCAGTATCTAGGGGTTCCGTTTCAATAACGCAATGCAAAACCGGCTCGAGCCCCCACCCAGTGACCTGGGACAATTACATACCACCCCCTCGGGCACCTCTAGGAGGCAATACTTCCCCTCTCGCAAGCACGGAGTCTGAGTGTAGCAAAAGCCTTTTAATAAAGGAGGGAAACAATGTGGCATTATGTTGGGGAACCACCACAAACAGGATTCATAACACAAACCATGAGCAAAAGACCCACCTCCAAGTAAGTTTGGCAGTGTCCTTTTCCCCTCGGGGTCTTAAGTCCAATCACCCCAAAGTCCAACAACCCAAAAGTCTCTGTCCCTGGTCAGTGCCGCCCCAGAGTATGGGGGGGGCACACAGGGTGTTAAGGGGCACCCTTACGTGGTCCGAGGCCGACTGCCCCACCTCTCCGTGGAGTTCTGCTGCAGCCTTCACCACAAACAGCTCCGCTGTACCAGCCGCTCCGCTCCGCTCCTCCAGCTGTCCCGTGAGCCGCTCCAGTCATTCCCGCAAACTGCTCTGCTCCACTCGCTGTCCCGTGGGCCACTCCAACTGCCCCACAAACTGCTCCGCTCTGCCAGCCACTCCACTCCACCAGCCGTCCTATGAACCGCTCCAGCTGTCCCCATAAATCGCTCTGCTCACTGTTCTGTGGGCCGCTCCAACCGTCCCACAAACTGTTCCACTCTCCCAGCCGCTTAGCAATAGATCTTCAGGCTCCCCCACTAGTTAACACAGCACTCAGTGATCTCAGCTCAGTAATTTTAGCTCTTTTAGTGATTTCAGCTTCTAGCAGGGGAGCCCCAGTGCTGGTGCACCATTGGCTCAAAGTGAATTCAGCTCAGCAGCCTCTAGCTACATTCCTAATGGAATCAAAATTAGCTCTATTATTCAACAGTGGAGAGAGAAGGCTGTGCAATTGGTGTTCCAGACCCTCAAAAGGCACCCATACCATCAGATACACATACCTGTCCCCAAACTCTCTTAATTCACTGGGTTTTGGAACCCATGTCCCTTGTCTAGCGAGTGCTACTTAGGTGATGGTGAGACCCCCTGTCATAAAACAGTTTCATTGTCCTTGATTCACATAACCAGGGTAACAACACTTTATTCCTCCTGCCCCAATAACAGAAAAACTGGGGATCCCACAGCTGCCAAAGTGACCATTTTGGGCTGCCGTGGGCTCACGCTAGGTGGGGTGGGTGTGCCTATACAAACAAGATCAGCCCCTGAAGTTCTTTTCCACACTCGCCATAATTCACCACCAGATGTCAGGGTAGAGCTCATCCTGACTCTGCTTACATTGCTTTCCTCCCACTTTCAAATGACCTGAGTCATGATTTTTGTTCCTTAAGCCACGAAGAGTTCCTTGCAACTCTTCCATAGCCAAAGTGTCCCTCCAGGCCACAAAATGCTGAGTTGGTACCCTATAGTGCTCCCAAGTCCTGACTGAAGAGATTAGGAGTCAGACTCTGAGTCCCAGCATAGCACTGTCACTCATGCACTGGGCTCACTCAAAACTAAAACTTTTGAGTGTTTTTTTTAAACACACTTTTTTCTCAATACAACTTTTTTAGTGACATGGAGCTTGACACACAAACAACTATATAAAATCCCCATAAAAGAGTATATCTGGAACATTAATGGGCAGCTCATTGTCAAGCTGAGTCACAGTGGGACACATACAGCTGGTAAGATTATAATAAGAACGACCATACTGGGTAAAACCAATGGTCCATCTAGCAAAGTGTCCTGTCCTCTAACAGTGACCAATGCCAGATGCTTCAGAGGGAATGACCAGAACAGGGCAAGTATCAAGTGATTCATCCCCTGTTGTCCACGCCCAGCATCTGTAAGTCCGAGGTGTAGGAACACAGGGTTGCATCCCTAACCATCATGGCAAATAGCCATTGATGGACCTATCCTCTATAAACTTATCTAATTCTTTTTTGAAGCCTGTTATAGTCTCGGTTTTCACAACATCCCCTGGCAACAAGTTACACAGATTGACTGTGTGTTGTGTGAAGAAGTGCTTCCTTTTGTTTGTTTTAAACCTGCTGCATATTAATTTCATTGGGAGATCTCCTGCTTCTTGTGGTCTGCATGTCTTTCTGTACAAGAAATCTGTAGTATAAACAGACAACTGCAATATGTATGTGCATTTGTGTAATTAATATTTAGTTGCCAGGTCAGTGTGCCTGCTTCTTAAGGGATCCCCTATTTTAACACTAATAAAGAATGTTTTTAAACACACATCAGAGGGGAGAATTTTCTAACAATGCCTCCATCATTTTGCATTGATGGTGTTTGTAAGGGACATGAATATTGGCTTTAAATGTTTTGCTGTTTCCCCTTTGAGTGTGTATAATCTTTTTAAGATCTCAGGGTACTTCTGAAGGTTCTGACTCCCTTTTCTAAGGCCATTCTCCCCCTGGCTTCCCCAAGTCACACCTAATACTATTGATTTTGCTGCCTATGTCCTTCCCGATGTAAGCCTCATGTCTGAAGCTCTAGAGAGTGGGGACAGTTGGTGAATAAGGAGAAGAGTGGCCCAGAGATGCTTGAGAACACAAAATGAATAGGCCAGCCTCATTCGCATTTCAGTTATGTGACAAGTTGGGGCATTTTAGTTAAAATACAGTTACGTTTTGTGTTTTGGGAAATAAAATACTATTATTCATGTTGGGAAATGGAAGGACTGCACCAAATATGCCTGGGGCAAGAGGTCACCCTGACTAGACCATAGTCAGGCACCCATAGGGAAGGGAGCCTGGATAGACCTAACAGAAAAGATAGATTTCTATCTTCCATAGGGAGTTTCTCTCTGATGATGAGGACTCTGTTAAGGGTTCTATATACTACTGATCCTTTTCTGAAGGCTCAGCACAGAGGTAGTCTCAAGAGAGCAGATGGCTTCAAGACAACAACCAGAGCTGAAGCAGATGGTGGTGCTGAGGTACCTTGGACTGAAGCTGTAAAGAGCAGAGACTCTGGTGCAGGTCTTCATACCCAGCAATGAAAACTGAAATAACTTCAGCTGGGTTGGGTGGTAGAGACCCCTGAAGAACACTAGCTAGCTCTTCCCTTTGGGGCTAGAGAATGACCTGCCAGAATTCTTGGACTCCAGCAACCTTGGCCAACAAACTGTGAGTTGGGAAGTTGGGGATGAGGGAAGTGACTAAAATGCTTTAGCCACTCACAACTGCAAGAGGTGGACTGAGGTTGGGACTATTATTAAAACACACAAAGGGGAGGGGAATCTTACTTAATAGATATTGTTAATTTATTAATTCCTGGCTTTCCCAAATTAATTCTGTTGTCTCCCCTACCCCTAATAAAGTTCTCATTGTTTTAAATAATTAGACTCAGTGCTTATTAGTGGGAAGTATTGACCATCAAGGTCACCCAGGGTGATATATATATAGTTTCCCATGTTTTTGGGGTGGTGAGGGCTTATGCAAGTGTAAGTATTCAGAAAGAACTCCTAGAAAATTGAACCTGGTCCGTCTTACTGCAGACAGCATGTGGGCAGTAAGGTTACCCTTTTTTACTGAAGGAACATCACTATTAATAATTTCATGTTAATACTTTCCTTCAAAAGTAAATTGTCTTTGTAAATTTAGTGCTCCAGATACACAGGCCAAGACAGTGAAGTCATCCTTATACTCACAGATCAGGTACAATACAGGAAGAGGCAATGAAAGCTACCTTACAATGTGCCTCGCCCACGTTCTCATGGGATCACCTCTAAGTGTGGGAGATTAGTTTGGTCTCAACGACCAACTTAATCGTTGGCCTCTCTGTTTTAACTTTATATTGTTATTTCTTTTCTTTTCTTTTTCACTTTGGGAGGCACTCAGATACTATGGGGATGGAGGCCAAATAATCAGGTAGGTAGCTAGAATTGTTATATACCAATTATGTGGGGGTTGGGGGATGAAGACATTAGGCTACTAAAAACTGGACTCTTCACATAGGCCACCAAATAGCTATCCACTTGTAACACCTTTTAGTTACTACTGGCCCCGGGCTTGATTTGAATTATCTAATGGCGAAATGCCATCACCAATCCCTTGAGCCTCAGCTCATTATATCAGCTGTGCATTGAACACTCACACAGGTAGGAGTTGAAGATCATGTATGTGTAACTGGAAATGTAACTTCGCCTACACTTTCCATAAAGTCTCTCATTGATCTATGGCCTTAGAGTTATAGGGTATTAATGATCTCCAAATAGGTATTATATAGGCAGATGCTATTTGGTAGTGTTAGAATTGTATTAATTAACTAGAATAAATTCAAATTAATAAAATTAATTCATTTTTAAACTGTAACCTACTCAGAATGAACACACTACATTCTTGCATGAGTAGCTCCACTCCAATACAAGGAATGAATGTGTTGCATTTGGTTATCAGCATAAATTACAGTCCAGGGACATTCTCAACCTCAGGAACAAAAAAAGTCAAATTTTCATCAGTTTATGTTCATTTTTGCCTTGAAATTTTCATGAAAACAAGATGCAGTTTTTGCAAGCAGGAACCTTACATTTTGCTGAGGAAAACTGAGGCCGTTTTGGGTTGTTTTTAATTTTGTCAGAATTTTGGTGTGATGGTGATAAAATTATACCAGACACACTGTTGTTATGCCTTTACCCTTCTATCACACCTACTACTCCAGGATCTCAAAGGATTTAGAATCATGGAGCCAGATTCTGGCCTCCACACCAGCTCCCATATGCCAGTCTGGCACCTTATAGAGGATGTAAAGGGGTTGCCATGGGCTTGGGGAGAAGTTCCTCAGTGTAGGATCAGCATAGAGTCTATGAGACTGACCTTGTACCTTCCCCTCTATCCCTGAGACCCTAGCATAGGTGCTGTACTGAGGTGAAGGCAGCAGTTAAAAATAAAATAATATAAAATAAAGTAAAACAAATTGGGTGGGTGATGGCATGGTCTCAGCACTCGGCCTCTATCGTATGCTGG